CAATCCCTCTGGTTCACAGTTTTCCCCCCATTTTCTAGACCAGTGAGCTACATTACATTTAGAATATTTATTCAACCAATTTGGGCCCACAGTGGAGCATACAGAACAGTGTCCAAAATCATCACAGTTATACATATACAAAACAGAACAAAACAAACATTGTATAATGAACAGAGAGTTAGTTATCTTCTTTTAGGACTGTATAGAATGTACATTATAAGTGGCCTATGTATAATATCTGCAATATGCCTATATTGAACTATGTTGTTTTCTCTTATTAAAATTTGCATTTAAAAGTTGGCATAATAAAACAACAAACTCAGAATCTTCATTTGACATAATCCATGTAAACAGGTCAACATTGTTAAGCAGTATCAAATTAGGAAAGGTTTTAAAGATTTTATCAAAAACTCTCTTCTTGAGTCATTATAAAGTAACATTCACAAAAAATGCAATTCATCCTCAGTTGGACTTGAGGTGCAGTAACTGTCCTCACACCTGGAAGAATTTACATTTTTACCACATTTATTAATTTTCCTTTCATATCTACCCGTTTCCACCCTTAAACAATATATATTCTGAATTTTGTGAGAATTACCCGATTGTCTCGGTTTTTCATATTCAAGTATTTTTCAAAATAAAAATACCTTTTATACTTAAAATATGTATTTAATTTACCAAAGCCTTCCAAATAATTCTCTCAGGTACCAGAATATAAATCCAAATGTTTAAAAAACTATTACTGAGTTGTCTTTTCATGTACAATTTAAATTTGTTTTCACTTAGTTTTTTACAAAGGGACAAATTAATATATAAGTTTTTCACTGTAGAATAATATACTGGAGTATATATAGAGGATCACTGTTGATGATGTTTGATTTGCACTCATTGAGAGCTGCTTTCAGTAGGTTAGATGATGTATGTTCTAGTCTATACCAGTACATGAATATTTGTACAAGATTTAGATACACCCATAATGTATTTACAGAATTTCATATTGAGTTTTTCAACTTCCCAATCTTTAAATATATCAAAAAGAGGGATATTTTTCCTTTTTGGAGTAACATTAATAATGCTCCATTCTCACAGCCATATAAAGCTATAGGTTTAATACAGTAATCAAATATATGTAAAAATGTTTTTAAGGAGGGGTTAGCATTTTTCACATCCCTATAAATTTTTAAAGCATGCCTTTAAACTTTTCTGACACACTGACAGGCCACAGTTGCTAACTGGGACCAGCACTGAAATGGCGGGGGGGGGGGGGGGGGGGGGGGGGAGCTGATATATTTGTATTTTCTTAACATAATACATAAAATGGATAATATTGAATTTATATTAATCTTTTTTAAAGGAGTGTTATGATTGAATCACCACAAAGCCTAGCTCCTATTTCCAATAGCTTTTGTTAGTTTTCCCCATTTTCAGATAAGTTTGACTTGATTCCCAGTTTTAAATACCTGCAAATACTTGTTGACACTGTCACTATTAGTTTACAATTCAAGGGGAGTAACTCTGCTGTATAATTAAAAGACAGTATAACTTGTAACTGCCATGACATGGCACAGTACAGATTGACAGAATCTGGACCTACTGTCTGTTTGCTGTGTATTGATCTTAGGTATTGACCTATTTATAGACCCCATTCATTACCTGTGTGTTACAACCTTGGCTTGGACTTGTGTCAAAGGAGTAAAAAAACAACAAAAACTAATTTGCATGTGGTTCGTGTGATAAATTAAGCTTCATTTGAGGGTTATACAGTGGTGGAACATGGTTTAATAGGCCTGTATCAGGCAGGTATTGACCACTGTTTATGTTTGTGGTTTAAATTTTCTGCAAGAAATGTCATTATAGTAAAGCTCATTGATAAATACCTTCACAGGTGACTGATTCTGAATTAATGAGCTACACCTGATGAATTTTAACTGTCCTGGACCCTATACACTTTTACCTGGATATAAGTGCCAAAATTTTAGACTCAGCTGATGAAAATTCATAAAAAAATATATATTGTGGACTGTTTGTGTAAAAAGCAGCTTTAAGGTTGCTGGTGCCAATTTGAAGGAGGCTTAAAGAGTTACTTCCTGTTTGTGAACCCTGACCTATAAACAAGTTTTTCATTGGGTAAAGGGGCTGTGAATTCTCTCAGGGACAGAGGGGCGAGAGACAAGGAGGTGCCAGGGCTGAAGGTGAGATATAAATAGAACGAGGTCCGGCTGACAGAGTCAGCGAGAGTATTATGACACGTATCTGTCAGTACTGTGTTATATAATGTTGATGTTTCGTAAAATCTGATTATATATCTATGGAATCTGTTATATATAGAGGATTTAACTGTGTTATCAGGTGTTTATAGCTGAGAGTACAAATTCTCACAGTGGACTGACTTTGTAAACACTTGAAAAATCAAAGAGAAAAAAAGAACTTTCTAGTATTCAAATGTGACAGACTACTTTGACATAAGTATCACAACCTGCAATTAGTGGACCTCAATCAAAATAAATGTGTAAGTCAACAGTACACAATTAAATATTTATAAAAAAAATACTTAGATATATGTTTGTAAGTTAAAAGGGGATGGTTTATTTTTAGGATAGATTTTATTATTTATCTAGAAACATTCGACCCATATGATGGGGTAAATACTTCAGTGTACTCAGTTATGTAAAGAGCGCCACCTTTTTATCAGCGTAAAGTTATCAGTCAAGGACCTGAAATTTTTAAACAAAATACCATACAACTATTTATACAGACACACTGACAGGCCAAGTGGTATTAGGGAGCTTCAGTCACTAAACTCACTTAAAGGTTGGTGGTTCTCCAATTCAGACATGATATATTTGTATTTTCTTAGACTATTTGTCATTAGTTTCTAGGTTTTTGTGTAATTAGTGGATATAAATTCCCTATGAATTTAGTTTCAAAAAGTATTTATCACAGGCATTTGTTTCGTAGGGGGTACCCCATATACAAAACAAGTGCCTGTGGCATTTATCATATTGCCCTATCATTCATATGATAATCAGTTACTTGCCCATGAAGTTGTGTCTCTGTACACCTGAGTGTATAAATTTAATTGCACTAAAATTCATCTCCATGAATTTTGAAATGATTCTAGTGGTGATGCTAAAGTTTATATAAGGTCAGCAGGTCGTGGCTGAAGGGATTTGATATCCTCCCTTCTGTAATGCTGACAGCAATATTTACAAACAATATACTAGGAGCTCATATCCTCCTGTTATTATAGTCATGCATGACGATGTATCAATCCTTGATGAGTCCATTCATCTGTTCATTTTGTTCTTATCAGAATAGAGAGGGTAGAGTGGTTTATGATATTGACTACAAATTAACACAGTTAGTTTTGTCAGTATAAATTCCTACAAAGGATGAGAGGTTAACGATAAAATTTGATGAATAGCCTATCAATTATAATGTTATACCCTCCCAAGGGGCTGATGGTAAATTTGGGCAGTAGGAGAGGAGAAAAAGAGATGCATACATGCCTGTAACACTGATTTCATTTCATCTTTGGGATTCAAGTAAGCAAAGAAATTACAGTCAAATCTCATTTTGGAACACTGCGAGACTCCGCAGTTACTGTGCTTTATTGAGACATTCTTGATTCTGAGTTGATTTGTCTTGGTATCGATTTCAACAATTTGAGATATTCTTAAGTCCGAGAGAGATTCATTGTAAGGTCAGGATCTTTGACTCACTTTAACATACCCCAAATATTCCACACATCCATGTTAATGTATAATATTAAAATCAATTCAGCTAGCGCTGTTGGTGATCGGAATCCAAATGTTATGTTCCCACAGAATAATTAATAGTCACCAGGCACTACAAACTTGTACCTGGTTTACCTGCCCCTTAGCCTTCTGTCTTGTGTGAACACCACTCACTGCCAGCCTGGGCAACTCTCTCCCAGCCTCTGGGCCCCCTCCTAAATGTCACTGCGTAATACAGAGTCACCTTATGGTCTGGCTGATCAAGGACTACTGATAAAGCAGCCATCATCAAAAGCCAAGCTATATCTCAGGTATATAGTCTAGAGGATAGATTTAACTACAGGTAGAAATTACAATTTGATGGTCCTCCCGTAAATTTTAAGGTATGTTTATTTCCTCTGTAATTAACTCGAGTCTCGTGGGACTTTTATGTATGGCTGTGTTTGTGAATGTAAACTGAATAAATCTGCATGGACGGATTGACTTATAATAACTAGAAATTGTGGAAATACTATATACTGTGATTATCATATCGCCTGGAAAATAGGAATTTTAAGAAAGAATTTTTCATATAATGTACTGGGTAATCAGTTGAACTGAGTTAAATTTTCCTTTGCAAAAGCTGTGTCATTGTTGTTGAAATATGAATCACATTTGAAATACCCCCGGTAACTGAAAGGGTGTTTGTGCTGCTGGTCAATTAAGGTATAAACTATAAAAAGGCAATATGAACAGATACATGTATATGTCTTAAGGTGACTATGGCTTATAGCTCGTACGTTATTGCATCTATAATTGGTTCAGGTTAACCAACAGTATTATAATAATAAGCCATCAAAAGCAATGTCATATGAATTCACTGTGATTTGCCTGTAGCTAGCATGAGCAATATTGACAACACAGAAAATGAGTTTGAACAATCTAAGCATAAAAAGCATGAAGTCCATCACCCCCTAACTATAAAATGTATTCTAGTCCATTGCAATTAGGACATAAAATAAAGTCTTTGAATTGGTGCCCTGTGGAGAATTTTTACAAAATATTTAACAGATGATTTACATGAAATTGAGCAATTTTAGAGGAATTTGGCATAACATGTACATTATTTTTCCTCCAGACACCTAATTCTGTTAATTTGAGTAAATTATGATTTTCATTCATCAGTTCAAACAATATTAACTCTGAGGCATCCTTATGGTATATTGAACAAAATATATTAAAGTTTCAGTGTTTTCTCATGATTTTTTCTTCTTTCTTTTTCAGAGCACAACTGCAGTTCCAGATAAATTGGTGACAGATATGCAGACAGTGGAGAGACCAAAACTTACAGGTAATATCATAAAGCATGCAGGTAACCCCCCACCCCAGTAAATTTACCTGTGAAAGTTAAATACAGGCATCCCAGAACATCTAAATATAGCATAGTTGGAAGAAAAAAAACCCAACATAATGCCTTTTTTATTTATCAAGGTTTTTTAAGTATTGTAGATTTTCTAAAAAATACAATTGCTCCAGATATTAGGTCATAAAGATATTTAGTTACTTTGACACTGTTTATGATTATTCAGTTGACATATTGCCTTTAATGTGGGTTGCATGTATTCTAAATTCATATGCATGTATTAGTTATTTTGTGGTGCATGCTTGTTGCTTTGGGCTGTTATAAGGTGACACCGCCCCCGAGACTCCACTCCCCGACTACGAGGACGAGACCGAGGGCGTAGAACTCCGACAGAAGCGATTTCGATTCGTCCGACAGTTCAGCAATGTTATCAGCAGTATCATATCTATAGGTACCAAGTGCATAGTGTGCCGTCCTGTACTAAGCACTGAACTAGGACTTATAATTAGTAGAAGCACCTAGAAAAAAAAGCATAATGCTAGCAGTTTGACTTTTCTTTAGACATCTCCTACTTTTAATTATATGTTGTCTAACTGAATTTAATCCATAAGTGCAAGAAAATAAGAAAAATTACTTGCATACTAAACTCAATTTTCAAATATTCTTAACCCATTGGTACATTTTTTATTAACATTTCACTGAAATCTGGTTGGTCTTCAGCAGTCCTGCTAGCAGATAAACAGACAGACAGACATGCAAACTGCTAGACAGACAGATAGATAAATAGCTAGATAGATAGCTAAATAGATAAACAGATGGACAAACAGAAAGACAGATAAACATACTATAAGAGAGACCAACAGGCATCAAAATGAATAGACAGACAGATAGACAACATTCAATGAAACTGCTAGCTCTTCTAACCCTGTGATTGGTGGATGGTATAAGCACTTGTAATTAATCTGTATTTGGTTTGAAAATTGACAATATTTGTGGTTTCAACTGTGACTAAAGTACTAACCATTTCTAATAATTTGATGTATTGCCAACATAATATATACAATTCAAAAAAATATGTAATATATTATGGATACAGAACAATTGTAAAGGGGGATCAGGGTGGTGGGTTTATGCAGGTGTCAGATGAAATCTAATCTACCTCTTGATATAATGGAAATAAACTCATGAAATTTTTTTTTTAACAATAACTAAATTATGTTTAAAAATTTCAACAGTTGCATTTCAAAACATTATTCATTAATTGTTTTATAAATATAATGATTCAGTTCAACACCAGTCATATAAACATGTTTGAATCTGAGAGCCTGAGTATAAACAATATGTTACACTGTCACACAACATTGTCCTTATCACCACGATCTACCACCGGTAGTTACCCCACCAAAGAAATGCACAGGGGTGATCAAATGAACAGATATTGTAAGACCTCCTGAGAAGAACATTAAAGTTCATTTTGATTTCTGACAAAGCGTCCTTTGTTGGGTGTGCAGTGCTTTCCCTGGTTGAAGAACAAGCCCCTCTTTGTGAGTTCTCCTCTGTTTTTCCTCCCTCTGAGTTCGGGCTTCAGTGTAGTAAGTCAGGGGGATTTGATCTGAGGAGAAAAAGATGTCTTAGGGATGAATTGCCATGGGGAGGGAAATGATTTCTTCATTGACATCTAGTAACAGTTAATTATCTGGAATTACTCAATCTTCTGCTGGAGAGAAAAAACGGGATAAAAATTTATTGACTCTGTATCATGATTACTTCTCAGAAAATAGAAATGATATTATGTTGACAAGTCTTTTTGTAGAAGATATACTTGAGAATAATTTGAACTTGATTTATTGTTTACATGCATATTATAGTACAATTTTAAGGAAATAGTGCTGCAGGACTTTGCAAATTTTGTATCCAGGTATTTTGGCTGTGAATTGTTCAAATTCATTTTAATTAAGACAGAATTATCTTGCCTGGTAACAATATATTTCATATACATGTATATCACATTCATCATTTTAAGCTAGCTGATTATTTATTGTCAATATAATGAGCATGATCAATGATAACTTTCTGCTTACCTGTAATTCCTTTTAACACTAATTATATAAATAACTAATTTAGCAACTGTTACAAATACATGATAAAATCCCTTGCATGTTTGATTAATTTTTATAAATTTGAGAAATAGAGGTGATTACATGTGTATACTACATGTAGTCTACTTTTATTGATGCCCCAAATGAAGTGAGGGCTTAATGATTTTATAATTGATTGATGCCGTAAATCACCTGGTCACGTACTAACTATAGCACTGGTCACGTTGTTGTTACAGATGACAGCTACGACCTGCCCGAGCCAGAGCCCGATTACCAGGACGAAGACGTGATCGACGCTCCCACGGAAAAAGAAAACACCATAGACATGTTATCACACTCGCTGAAGGAGAAAGTGATTTTACGTGAACGGAAATCCTCCAATTCAGAGATAGACAAAAGACTGTCCGATCCAGGAAATGACGATTTACTCATAAAACCGAAGAAGCTAGCCAACCCCTGTATTGCCTCCCCTGCTCGGATGGCCGTTCATAAAGAGCTGCTTCTCAACTATAAAATGTAGGTCAAGTTTAAAGTAGGTCAGATTCAAAAATAGGTTACAGCTAAATTCTTAATAAGCATTTTCATAGAATTTTATTTTTCAGAGTTGAACTTTTTTTTGGTTCTTGCTTTGTAATATTTAAGAAATGGTATTGTTTTTTAATGAACTTTACTCTCCTGCATTTGTTATACTGTACATGTACATTCAAAAAGATGGCTATAAAGATTTGATCTTTCATGTAGTCAATACACAGAGAAATCATGGGAAATTAGACTTTTGATATTTCATGACACATATATTCATGTTGACAATAAATAAACATGTATTGGCTTTATATTGCATTTTAGGGGTAAGAACATCTTGGAAAAACCAGAGCTAAACAAAGTGTTTGATAAAGTCAAGGAGAAGCAAAGGGTTCAGGAATGGGAATCGCAAAAGAAACCAAACAAGAGGACCAGTTTAGAGCTTAAGTTAGAACAGCAGGCATCAAGGTTAAAAGAGGTATAAATGTCTTGATATATCCAATCATCTTCAAGAAGTTTTTGCATAAAAAAGTGGACATACATGTAATATAATATAATTACTGTATCTGGTCTTGCTTTAAAATAACATCCATTTGTATTTGATTCGCAATATGTCATTTTGTCAAACTAATTTGAGCAAGCCATATGCAACTTTAACTTGAGAATAAGTTAGTTTGGAAGTCATGTGGCATATGATATCATATACTCAACATACTCAAAACCATGCAAAATGAAGATGCTGTACGTACCAATGGGTCCCCAAAGAAAGATTTCATATTACTCCTGAGGCAAAAATTATATTTCTTTATTAATTGATTAGATTGAACTGATGATTTCAGAGCATGTTTTAAATAACAAGAAGGTTAATTTAGGGCCATGATTCTGACCAAATTGATATATAAACATTATTGCTTGCATATATTTGATAGAATGGCCGATTTCAAATTGACAGTGTTTCCCCATGAATATAAGGGTGCACTTTGCATTGTCATCTACTATTAGATTTTTGAAAACAAAATTACACCAGCGCTTCAGTAAAATAGCTAGTATGAAATGTGGTATGTATTCTAGCTGGTTTAATTTAAAAGTTTTGACTTTAGTTTTCACTATTTCGTTTCACTCGTTTTTGCCATGGCTTAATTTGTGATTTGCAACTGTAGGTTCAATTTATAATGATCATTATTTTAGAAATGGATGAATTTATTTTCTTTGTTGTTTTCAAAAGGGGAACAATTTTAGCCATGTTTCAAACAATTGTCAAGTTGATAAATAAAATTGGGTGGAAAAGTTCACCAAGCGTGGATCAGTTGTTCTGCATGTCTCATGTGACTCATAAAAATGATAATGTTCATAGCCCGAATAAATTATCAGTAGCAGATTACTGCCCTAAAATTATTATATCATCAAGAATTTGTCTGTTTTTGGTATGATTCTGAAATGCAGTTTTTTGATAAAACAAAAAGGCTTTGGATCAAAGGGCTTTTGGCCCCTGATTGTATAACAAAACAGTCTGGAACAAAAAATGAATAATCCCATGTGACTATAATTGGTGGAATGTCTGTAGAAGATTGCACAGTAAACAATACAGTTGTCAGACTGCATGAGAATGCAGCAGAAAAATCAATGTCTCTTGAGTGAGTTACATAATATTGTATGACTTGTCACCCGACACTGAGGACTAATAGGGCCGCTACAGAGGCTGGAATGCTGGAAAAATTTCACGACAGTCAAAATGTGACGATTTATTTTTTCCACTAAGAGTGTTCAGGCAGCATCGCTTGGGAAATTGAAATGAAACCGAATCTTTGTTTTGATGAGGATTAATAAATAAAGCTTCAGATGCCTGTGAAGATGTAGCACAAAATGACTCTTTAATGAGTTTTCTTGACAACCTGAAGCCACCCAGAACTATCAATTAAAACCATAAAGTTTATTTAATACACATGTATAGTGTTATATAGTAGGATGGTCCACTTTGTAGAGCTCTTGGGTGTTTGTAGTCCTCTGTACTATGCGTATATTTGATATTGTCATGGTGATCTGCTATTGGTTCTGGTGGATAACTATGAAGAGTCATTAAATAATCTTCTGTCTATCATTTTGAATAAACAATTGTCACTCATTGGTAACCATAGAAATCAACTTGTCACTAGAAAATATCTCACATTTCTAAATGCAGTAAAACTATGAAAGTCAGAGCAAAACATTAATTTTCTCTGTTGTCTTATTGCAGCAAGAAGAAACTCTGAAACCAGTCAAAGAAAAGAATGAGAGTGAGTCTGAACTTTCACGAATGCAATCCAAAATTCTCAGTCGATCCATGAATGGTTCCACGGTTAAATAGCGAACAGCCGAACTCTGAAATCCTCCATACTTGTCAAGTTTCATCGCCACAAGTCATCTGTAGAGAATGAATTCAAAGATGAAAAAGAAAGATATATGCCCACATTTTTGTATGATTGAAGTGAATTTTTTTCTTATTGTCAATATTTTTGAATTCATCTGGTTTGGAAGATGTCCATTTTGTTAACAATCATACCAGATAAAGTGTATGCATGAATTTCAAATTATGTCTTGTTTCCATTTAATATTTTAAAGAATTTATACTGTATATTTCAAAACAACTTCATGAAAAATTTAATCATTTGATTTAAAAAATGCTGAGAAAATATGGGCTGTTGGTGGCTATTTGTGTTGTAAGATGCATTTAGTAATATGTTTCACCAGCCAAAGTACTCTGTATTGGATCAGCTGTTAAAATACTTAATATTAAAAAGTCAATCATAGATAAAACCAAGTACATGTACATAAATGTAGTGAGACTGTGTGCAAATTGTGTTGCATTTAGCATTATCTCCCCTTGACTATATAAAAAGTGACCAAGTTTACATTGTGATATGAAAAAAAAGTGTGCTATTATTCAGATGATTTACTTTTTGTATTTTGTACATCTGTATTGCATTTGATTTATACAGAATTTCTAATAATAATTAATTTTTGGGAATGACTTCAATGTAAATTGAAATTGTAGCATTCTTTTATCATTAAAGGTTGATAAAGTTGTCTTACATTTACAACATGTACAATTTCAGTGATATTTTTAAAATGTTATCATTGCACATTTGTAAATGTTTGGCATCATTTATCATATTTGACCAATTATCATTATTTTCATTTCCAATCAATATAACTGTAGTCATTATTTTAATATAGAACATTTTTCAGTCATCAAATTTTTTTTTCAATCAAAATACTACATATATGTATGGCATTAAGTGTGGTACATTCAGCAGCATAATTTGTCCTCCTTAGTTTAGTCATAACAATGATGGTCCTGAATGTTAACAGATGCTATTTGGATGACATTTCCTATCTAAAAGATGTGTCAATTGTTTGCAGGTTCAATTCAAAAGAATTATATTGCATCGCTATAAGATATATTTAGGGGTGAAGAATACAATTTATAATATTACTAGGTACATGTAAATATACACTTGCGAGATTGTCAATACTAGTATATATATTTTGTACACGTTCTTGTGTTTAAAGATTGTATTTGTTAATCTTGTAACAGCCTTTATTTGACAAAAGTTAACAAGGAATTGATTATAGGGAATTTTTATGGCAACATTAGTACAATTTCTATCAATGTTAACTTGAAGTTGTAACTCACTAGACTACTTGTAATCAAGCCTCATTTTGATTCAGATTGACAGTCCATTTTTCTTTACTCAGATTTAGTAAATGGTTAATTATTTGTCAAGATTATTAGGAAAACAATCATCATTTAAAATGTGAGATGCACTTTTTCTACAATTTAATTTTACCTGAAAAACTAAGGTGAAAATTTGATGTCTTCCATTACTGTGTAAAAACCTGTCCAGAGGCATTTAGTGACTTAACTTGTGTTATTTTAAAATAAAAGTCTTACCGATGATTACAAAACAGCTGCAGATCATCGTCGGGTCAAAGACAAGGTCAACTGGGCATATGATCATGGTAGTTGCAGATATATAAAACACTTCTGTTCAATATGCCCTAATCATGTCAGTATATTTTATGTAAACTATAAGTTGTATTTTCAGAAACTTCTTTTTCTCTAAATTTTCTCCTTTACTTTTTTCCCCCTGATTTTATAATAATAAGATAAAAAATATTTTTCTACGGTACATGGTAGAAATCTGCAGATTTGAGTGTTTTCCCACATATCACATCATTTGGTGCTACATACAATGTACATGCTTAGAGCTAGAAAAAAAATTAAAACAGATACTATATAATGGGGTATCCTTCCAGTAACCCCCCCCCCCTTCAAAATCGAAGAAATATTTTTCTTTTATAAATGTTGTCCTTTTTCTGTTGTGTAAATGTTTTGTGACATGTGGCTTACAGCCAGTTAGAGCTAAAATTTGTTCTGTTGTGTCAGATTCTATCCAAAAACCACGCATTTTATAGTATTACGTTCTGTAAGACATTTGGACCTCATTTAAATATTTGTATGCTATATATATATTATGAATAATTTATTAAATGTTACTTTAAACATGTCTGCTTCTTTTTCCTACAAGATTTTGAATTTCAAGGTTACATACTGAGCAGGTTGAGATTGAAGATACATGCATGTATGTATATATATATACTACATGTACAATGTATATTGTGGTTTTATCAATATTCGTTGCATGAGCACCAATTTTCGAGGATTTCATTGTTGAGCAGATCCACGAAATTCAATGTTCATTGAATGAAGAAATGTGTTATTCATTTGTACAGACAATGCTTTTGTCCTCGAAATTATGTATCCTTGGAAATGTCCATTTTACAAAATCCACGAAATTTGACGCCAACAAAAATTTATGAAACCACAGTATATGTACTGAAGGTCTGCAAAGAGAGATGTAGTGTTCTTCCCAATTTCATTTCAGTGCATACAAAAATCTAGGAACTTTTCATAGGGGAAGTTTATACAGTCTCATCCAAAGGACAGGTTTCCATGACCCAAAGCGGAATTCGTATCTGGGACTTTAGGATCAACTCTTTACTTCACGACTCTAGAGCAGTCTACCATGGCGCCAAGCAGGCAACAGTAATGTGCAACATGAAAATTTGTATTAGTATATGAAGTTTGATGAGAATATCTTGTCAATGAATAGTTTCCTTGAAATTGATATCTCGAAAATTTCATATAGACCTTTAATTAATTCTCACTAAAATGTATTTAATTCTCACTAAATTATGCACAAGTGCATCAGCTTACATAAAAATATCTGATCTAAATCTGAGCTAAACACTAACTGGAGACAAGAGGCCCATGAGACCTGAGTTTGGCCCTGCCTTCCCCCTTGTACTATCCCTGTGGTTATGATTCAAATAATTTAGAATCTACACTTCCTCAGGATGCTTCCACATAAGTTTCAGCTTTTCTGGCCAAGTGGTTCTTCCTTTAAAGAGTTTTTGTATATTTATGTTACACCCACCCTATTTTGTCTTTTACACTACCCCAGGATTTCCATCTCCCCAATGGTTTTCGAATACATGATTTTAAAAAATCTTTGCATTTTTAAAGAGTTTTTGTAACTATTTCAATGTAAATCTTGAATTCTCTGTTGTGGCCCTTCATTTTAACAATTTAAACTCCCTTTTACCCAAGGATGCTTTGTACTAAGTTTGATTACCGGTAATAAAATTGGCTCAGTAGTTCTTGAGAATAAGTTCACAGATGGATGGATGATGGGTGGTCAGGAAAACTCAATTGAGCAGTGGTTCTTGAGAATAAGTTCACAGATGGATGGATGATGGGTGGTGAGGAAAACTCAATTGAGCTTTAGCTTAGGTGAGCTAGTGATGTCAAGGTCAAAAGAAAGGTGAAGGTCATGTTAATGTAGAATAGGTCTCTTTCATGTATCAACATATGAAGTTCGAGATCTTTTGTAGTTTCTTTAAAAGTGAGTGAAATGCAAAGCCGACGAAAGGACACAAGACAAACCTTATGTCCCAGCTATATTCATTAGGGGCATAATAAATGTCAAAAGCATAGCATAGGAATGTAGAGGTTTGGTTTTATGGACTCTATATATATCAGCATTGGTGGCTCCCAGGTAGACCATCAAACAATACAGGATTCAGCCTGGGTTGAGCTAGTAATTAATACAGCCATGCACTTTCTTTATGCATTCCTCCTCCATTTGGTGACCGTTTTAATAGATTTACATGTGCAAATCAGCAAGTCCTGCATCTTTGAGGATGAAGAGATCGGGGTATCTAGTTATGCTATATGGATCATGGTTATTGGCCTGGGTAGCTCTGTGGTAGAGCACCTAACAAGACAAGGGTTTCAGGTTGGATTCCCAGTGCAGCCAAGCATTTTCTTTATGTAACTAATGCAATCCTTTCCTACTGCAGATTTCAGAATTTTACAGCCTGCAAATTATTCATCTCCAACTTATAAAGCACAAAAACATCTTCCTTTGTTAATATATTTATTTTCGATCACTTCCAATCTTAATCAACTAAATATATCTGCTGCTTACACAATACTGCCAAAAACATTAAAACAATTTCTTCTGCAGCAGTGAGCACAAAATCAACCTTGAATGCCTCTGTAATTCGCTTTGAGCGCATGATCCAAAAGTTAGCCGTCTAAAATATACTCGTTACACACAACACCTTTAAGGCTACGAGTAATAAATTTTGCATGCATTTTCCTTTAAACAATTTCATGATGATAATACATATCAGCAAACAAAGTTGATTAAAAAATTAATTCGCAAGCCAATTCAGGCTACTTAAAAAATAAAAAAGAATACATCATAAATATACAAAAACTCCTTCTAATTGGGTCACTGATTCAGCTGCCTTTGAGAGTGTGTTTCCTTGACTCCTCCTCTACAGTGTGATGGGCGACCGGGCGGAACCACCAAGTAGCCACCGCCCGTCGCCCATCCGGAGACCACATTATCTCCCGCCACGCTCACCACCTCAACGTTCAGAACTTTGCCCAATGAACAACCGTCAACAACCCTCCGTCACTGAACACGAATTCTGCATTTGGCAGTTTAAAAATTTCATAATGATATTGGTTTCATTGGGCAAAATTCTTTTTGATCTTCAAGGGAAAAAAAAAAGCTGGGCTCCTTTTTTATTCGAGGTTCCCCATTTTTTTTCCCCTTGAATATGTGATTGGAATATATGTATTATGAGAATTGCACATTTTACTATTTTTTTGGTGCGTACAAGGTGAACTTCCCTCGTACACTAGATACTTTGTACTCGACTTCCACAGATTAAAAAAAAAAAAACTTCAACCTTCAATAACAAAAATTGTACAAAAATAACAACTTCCCCTGTAAATTACTCAAAACACTTTCCAAGATGTTCTCACTATTGGTAAAAAAAAAGTTCCGATTTGTCTTTTCTACCTTCAGATATTTACATGTTGAATTAAATTTTTCAAAACTTGGAATACACCTCTAATCCATTGTATACTATAATCGTTAACAGCTAAACACATGTACCTCTGATGCCAATAAAACAAGACTTGACCAACCCTTAGAAAACAATTGGACCTATCTGAATTTTCACAAGACCAAACAACTCTTTTTACATCCCCGTTTCGTGTAACGATTTCATCTGAGTGCCACAAAGATTATTTTCTCCCTCCCACGATAAATCGGACAGGTCCACAGACTACACAAGCGAGCCATTTATAGGTGGAAAACTCGAGATTGGAATGGATGTCTCCCCAACCAAATCTACAACATCGCACGACCTCTGGAGTTATAATTAACATAGAAAATCATTATGTACAGATTCCATAAACCCTCCAAGTTGTGATCACCATCACAGTAAACACCTTAAATCACTCGGGAAAAAAAATGATCTTATTTATAATTCATAACAACTTGGAGGGCAACTCAAGAGCAGATAACTATGATAACTTTCTAGAATTTTGGAAATATTTCAAAATTTTTTCAAATATTTTGACACATTTTTCTTCTTTGAACAAAGATCAAAAAAAAAAAAAAAAAAAAAAAAAAAAAAAAAAATACCCCCTTAGATTCACATTATGCTTCAAAAATTCAAAAGTTATAACATCTAACACAAACTTTTAAGTAAAGTAATTTTCTCTAACAATTTCTCTTGAAAGTTATCTTCTCTTGGTTCTGATATAGTGAGAAAAGGGCAAACAATCAAAAAACAGTTAAATACAATCTGTTTACCATAGACAGTGTCTCCTCATTGCTACACAATATCAGAAATGGATTAACATTACAAAATGATATACTGTTCTCATCACAAATAGATCCTAAATATGATTCACAATGTCTTCATCTCTACAACAAAGTACAAAACAAAACTTAATTTACTTGTCTTCACAATCTTTAGACAAAGTAAATCATATCAAGGCTTCGTAATTAATATCCACTACCAAACAAAACAAAATTGATGCGCCTTTACACAAGATTCATGTACATTATAAGAATTTGAATTTTTTTCACAAAGTTGCTAGAAGTTTCCACGAAGGTCGCGATTTGCAGGCTGCATGGACTCTAATCTTCGGCGGGGCAGTCGCGGGCGTAGTGTCCCATCTCGTTACAGTTGTAACATTTGACGTTCTTACTGCTGCTTCTACATTCTCGGGAGAGATGTCCGGCTTCACCGCAGCTGTAACATAGAATGCATTCCATTAGGTAAACATCACATGAAGGTATCAACAGGAGTGCTTTATGCTTACTGTAGAATTAGTGGATAGCTTAATCTCTCGAAGGAAATAACTACCTTTCTAAATCCTTACCTTCAGGTACTAAAACTTGCAAGGAAGTTTTGAATCTTATCAATTACGTTTATAACACTTAGGCCAAAAATAAAAATAGTCTTGTTTCCTGCTACCCGACCTACCTTATTTTTTTGCACCCGACCTTAAAGTTTTTTTTTTTAAGTTTTGGGAAAAAAATCAGGAATTTTTGGAATTTCATGTTCCAAAACTGAGAAAAATATATACTTAATTGGTATTTCATAAAATTCTTTGTTTTAAATATGGACTTTGATAAAATACAACTTGAGTTGTGCTTCAAAAGACATGAAATTTAATTTTAAAAGACAATATTGACCTATATGGCATGTTTAATTTGATCTTGTATTAGTTCATTTCCAAAGAAACACTGTCGTAAAAAATAAAATAAAAAAGAAAAATAAAATAATTTTCCTACCTACCTATCCTATTTTTTTCAGGCTGGTAGCAGGAAACGAGACTATTATTTTTTTGGGCCTTATCATTTACAACCATTACTAACTTTCAAACTTTTTGGACATTGAAAACACCATGTCAAAAGATATTCACTTAATACATGCAAATGACACAATATTTTAAGAAGGCAGTTCCTCACTTGTAACACGTCTGATCCCGGCCACCACCACCGCGGCGCCCGTCTGGGCAGTCCCTGGCCAGATGTCCGGTCCTGTTACAGTTGTAACATTCCCTGTCTCCACCACCACCACCACCACCACCGCCTCGGGTCTCTCTGTCGGGGCACTCTCGAGCTATATGGCCCTCCTCTCCGCACGTATAGCAGGCACCACCCCCACCACCTCCGCCGCCACCACTGCGGCGCTCCTGGGGCTCGTTGGTGCATTCCCTGGCAAAGTGTCCAGACTTTCCACAGTTGTAACACCTTTCACCTGTTACAAAGGAAAACTTTTAAGTCTTCTTCTTAACTTGCCAAATCATATTGGATTTCTGGTTCCTTTTAGTTTATGTATGCATATTAAAAGGATTATTGTTCTCTTTTAAGAACTGGACATTCAAAAGGATTTTCTCTCTCTTGCTCTCTCAAAAAAAAGAACAGTCGCCCACTCGCAATTTGCGACCAATATTCCTTGTGGGCAACTTAAAATTACGTTCAAGTAGCCCACATGGCGATTACCAGGTCTCTCTGTTCCTTTTTTTCTCTTGAAAAATTTCGTAATCAGTAAAGTGCTTTATATTTACCAGTGAGAAATACTTAATACATAAAGCGTCTGAGTGATTGTGACGGACACAATGTTGCATCGAATGCGTAAATGAGCCCAACAAACCAAAATTTTTGGTTGTATCTATGAAAAAACCTGCCATGTGCTTGAATATATGATGTTTAATAACCATATCAATCTTTTTAAACAAGAGTTCAACTTCAAATTTAGATAAATCGTGCATAATGTTTTTACGGATAGAAAAGAAACACGAAGCATATGATAAAAAAAAAAAAAAAAAAAAACGAAAAATGGGGTTGTATTTCTATTCAATAGAAGGTGTGAAAATTTGTGGGCGAATAAATTTTGATGTGGGCCCCAGAATTGCAAGGTTTAGGCCATAATAAATAATAAGCTAGATTCTCATCCGAATTTTTAAAAAAATCGAGGCGGGCGGGCGGCTTTTATTTTATATTTTTTATTTTTTCAATTTTGCAGATTTTTTATTGACCTGGTCAATCGATGTAATTTTATTTACTATACCCGAATAAAAGTCATAGTAAAGGTTCAATTATCTCTTACTTCACATCATCACCGATCTTTCTCAACCAATGACCCTTGTTTAAATATATACGCATTTATTATTAATACCGTCTTCCTTGGAAGACGGTATTGTATAGTTGAAGTTTTTTACAGTCTTCCACTTCCTCTCTTTTGTGATTGGTAGAAATTGCATGATGAGAAAATTTTCAATTATTTCATTGGTTGAAATGCTGTTCAAGGCAAGGGAGATAACTTTCTGATGATCTATTTTTCGTACGACGTAACAATTTTGCAAGATTTCCAATCTTAAAAAAAATGACAAAACGAACAACAAAATCAGCAGTAATTATTTCTTAATAACATGACATCTTTTATAGCAATAAATTAAAAAGTCTTTTTAATTTCATTATAAATAAAATTTGATAGTTATTGCTTGCAGGCATTACAATTTATTATTATTCTTTTCCCCTTTCTTGTTTGAAGAGTGCATGGGAATCAGCCGAGGTTTGCCGAAAGCTCTCGGCCAGTAAAAGTTTACACTCGGATTTCCTCGGATGACTCGTACCTCGCACACATTGAATGGAGCGTAGCGGAGTCAGCCGAGGATTGCCAATTGAAAAGTTTACGGAGATGACCGTGCGACAACCGTACTGGTAGGGCTAATGCCCGTAAAAAGCTAATTTAGAAATACAAAATCAAGAAATTCAAAAGAATTACACGGCCTGTTAAGTATAGATCTGTTTACTGTTTAAAATTGTTGCTAATTTGAAAAGCTCTACTTGTAGCAATTACCAACTTTTCAGCTGTCAAAATCATGTCGACTTTCGCGGGATTTAAAACGAAAGTAGAATGGTAGATGAATACCGATTCCGATCAGAATTAAGACGAAGAAAAACAGAAATAAAAAAAATCAAGGCGGGGGTATAAAATCGGGGCGGGCGGGGATTAGAATCTAGGAATATTTTTATTATGGCCTTAGTAGCCCACATGGCGATCAAGGATTACAAGTTAGTTTAAAACCCTGTTAAAGAGACACAGTACAATTCTTCTGTATCCACGGGACTTTTCCCAACCCATTGTTATTATTATATATTATATATATGGAATGCTATCATCAATCAGGATGCCATTTCACAAACACTTATTGCCACCTCCCCCTTCCTAACAAATACCCCCTTTCTTCCTCTTCTAACCTCCCCACCCCCTACCTCTCAGATACTTATCACCACCCCTCTTCTTTCTCCTCTGAATCCCACTGACCCCTCCACCACCACCACCATCTCTCTCTCCCCCTCAGATACTCACCACCATCACCCCCTCTCCCTCCCCCTCTTCTCCGATACTTACCACCACCACCCCCTCTTCTTCCTCCTCTGAATCCCCCTCTGCCACCTCCACCTCCTCCTCCTCCTCCACTTCGACACTCCCGGGCAAAGTGGCCTGGCTTTCCACACTTGTAGCAGCTGCTGTCACCCATAGTGTCCGGGCTTGTTCTTGTTTCTCTTGCAAACTGGATTGTAAAAACCACACCACTTTGCACCTCACCTCTCTCTGAAAAATTACAAAAACATTGTTCAGATCAAAAACTTGCTGCTGCACTGTATAGCTTATGAATAAACTCGGAATCATTTTTAAGAGAAAAAAAATCTACTCGTGACAATCTAGTTGAGTACCGTATAATCCTTATTAACCGCCCCTACCCCTATAAGCGCCCCCTTACATCTTTTTCAACCATCAGGAAATAAGGGCCCCCTGTACAGTGATTAAAATCAACAAGAATGTTATCAAAAAATTGAAGAAAGTGAAAATGAAACCTGTCCATTATCCAATTTCTCAGTAGGAAAATGAATAATTAGCATAGATTGGATGGATTATCTTCACTTTAAGTAAAGTTAGACATTATTTTAGTGGTTCCTTGTATTTATTTTTTTTTTCAAAAGATTTTTTGAAGTTAAAATATGACATTAAATATCATAAAGAGAATACCAAAATAACCGCCCCCTTTTTGCAATTTTCTAAGCGCCCGGGGCGGTTGTTAGGGTTTATACGGTATTATGTAAACCGTGTGGCTACAGAATTGAATGTTGATTAAACATCACTTTTATCAATGTTTATTTTGTTTCCACACTGAAGTTAATGCATTGGGTCCACTTTTTAGGTTATAGTTTGAGTCATTGGGGATGCTTTCTCCTCTCTAGCATCTGATCCCACCTCTGATGTGTTTGCTCTGCTCCCAATTTTTAATGCGATTTTGATTAAATTTTTGTTTGTCATCTTCATTATTTCATCCAAAAACTTGAAAATGTTTACAAAAAATCAGTATTACAAGAAATGTGATGTTTCATCTTTGAGCAATTAGGCCTATTTCAAAATGTTCACAGAAAAAAAAATCTATAATCTATATAGACAGATCCAATTTTGTCTTAAAACTTATTTCTTCTGTGATTATAGTATTTAGCCTAGTTTCAATACAAAAACTTTTAACAGAGAACTTTATTAAAAAAAAAAAGATTTATAAAACCACCCAAAAAGAACAAAGAGAAAAATTAAACACCTATGATTTACACGAACAAATTAATTCATTTCAATACTAGAATCGAAACATTGTCACAGATCTCGTTTTATTACAACTGCGCAGTCATAGTACAGACCACGTGCTTCGACGCCATTCCACACCACGCCATTTCTAGTACGTAATGTCGTACAAAATTGCCAATTAACAACACAAAAGGTTCATCAACGAGGAATAAAATAACATGTATTTGATAATAGAATCTATCATAAAACAAAATAATTGTCTTTTTCTCACCAATAATCTCTCCTCACCGCTCCTCGCCTCCTCAACCCTGTAGACCACGTTTCTCCTTGGCGCTCAATTTTGCTGTTTTGCACACGACACTTTGCACACGGAAAAATATTATTCTAAAAAGAGACAACGGACGAGGACATTTGTTCCGAGAAAGTCTTTTAACCTTAATGGTTAAAGAGAAGTTACATTTATTCAAAATTCCTGTCCACAGCATTGTTATTTTGTGATCAGAAAACTCGATGCTAACAAGCAGAGTTAGAAAGTGAAACTTGTTTCATTTTTGACTGGATCTGTGGTTTTGATTCTTATTTCACGCGACTTTCAAATGCTGCTGGACATTTCTTTCGCCAGTTTCGTGATGATCGGCTAATGATTTTTTTCTCATATAAACAATGCATTTTATTTGTGGAGAAAAAGACTGTATCATTATCAGAAAACATAGCATTCTTTGGAAAATATAGGAAACAATAGATAAATAATTAAATTTGATTAAATTTTAATATAAAGTAAAATTTTAAAAAAAATTAAATAGAACAAACCGCTGATTCAGTTAATGAGCATTCCATCGAGAATGGTGTGGTACACATCCTTTCCCCCAGTTTCTAAATAACCCCAAAGCAAGAATCGGGGATCAGGCACATAAATACACAACATAAAAAAAAGAAGGAGTTATCTTTCCTAGTCGTACTTCTATCAGCTATAGGCGCGGATCAAGATTTTTTTCTAGGTTGGGGGTGGGAATGATCAACAGACGAGAAACATATTGACGCAAAGGTCGAAAATCGGATGCATCTCCCCTTTTTTATGACAGTGACATAGCATCGTTTTTCATGTTTTTGAAAGGGGGCAACCAGGGGAATTTTTTCAACAACAACAAAAAAACAAACAAAACAAAGTTAACTTGACAAGAAAAAAAAAAGAGGAAAATTATCCAAATTAATTCGAACACCTTGGCTTGCACATATTTTTTTTATTGTAATTTCCAATTATCATAACTCAAAAAGCCCCCCTACCCCCCCCCCACCCCCCTCCGGTTCCTATGCCTATGCTTTCATTAATCTCGTTATAGTATTCTCTAACCGTCTTTTTAAAAAAAAAATCATTATATTTTTAAGCAATTTCTAAAAGTCTCTTTAGTTTAAAACAAATACAACTAATCCTGTTTAAATAGAGAAAGTAATGTTGGTCCGTGTAACACTTAACAATTCAAATTTCTAAAATGGTTTTGAGTTTTAGAATGTTAATATATTAGTTCAAATTTCTAACTTTCAAAAACTCAAACTGATTTGGTATATTGAAATTTAATATTTTAGTTCAAAAATCTAAATTTTCAAATTTCCAAACAAGTTTTAGAATTTTAAGATTTTAGATTTTTACCTTAAACATTCAAAATTCAAATTTCCAAAAAAAAAAAATTTGTATTTTAAACTTTTGAGTTTTTAATCTACCGTCTGTTTAGAAAGTTTACGCTTAACATTCTAAAGTTCAGTACAGTTTTACGACTTTTAATATTTCAAAATTTACTTCAAACTTCTATATTTCAACTTTCAAAACGTTTTAGATTTTTTGAAATTTAGAATTTTGATTTAAACATTCAAATTTCAAATAACCAAAACACCTGAAATTTTCAGATATTTACTTCAAATATCCAAAATATCAAATTCCAAACCTGGTTTGAATTTCGAAACTATTTCAAAAACACTTTTGGTTTAGCAAAAGAGCTTTTAGACAATTAGAATATTGAACTGATATTCAAAATTCAATTTGGGTTTGGAAATTTGAAATTTGGATATTTAAAATAAAATTCTAACACTCAAATTGCTTGGGTTATTTGAAATTAGAACATTTGAATCAAAATTCAAAATTGATTTTAGAAGTTTGAAGCTATTTTTTTTATAATCAGAAGACGAAAAATATCACTGAACTATAGATTGTTAAGTGTTAACTTTCTGAACAAACGGTAGACTAAAAACTAAAACGTTTAAATTACAAAAATCGTTTTTGGACATTTGAATTTTGATTTTTTAAGGTAAAAATCTAGAAACTTAAAATTCAAAAACCGGTTTGGAAATTTGAAAATTTAGATTTTTAAACTAAAATATTAAATTTCAATATACCAAATCAGTTTGAGTTTTTGAAAGTTAGAAATTTGAACCAATATATTAATGCATGTGTTTTAAAATTCAAAATCATTTGATAGAAATTTGAGTTGTTAAGTGTTACACGGACCAATGTTGATTATGTATAACTATGGGCCTTTGTTTTAGATCTACATATCTTCGCGTCGATCTCGTTTGACCTGTCAACTCGACTTGGAGTAACGGTTTATTATCTGGATCGAGACACAGAAGCATTGCTTTTTCTTTCCTTTTTTTGCTTAAAAAAAAATATAATTAGAAGTTTTTCTCTTTTTATTTTTTTTTTTAAATCGAGACAAAATTAATGAAAATTCAACTTTTTAAACACCGATGGAACTTGATATAATTCAAAGGTAAAAATATTTCTAAAATATGACCTCTTAAAATCCGTGATAGTGGTGCAAGGATGTGTATCAATCAATTCAATTTCCACTGAGCCTGATTCCAGGAATTATACTGCAGACACGCTCTCATTTTTTCCCAGATATATATTTTTCTGGAGGAAATGTTCATAGAAAGCCCCCCCCCCCCCGAACTTCTGGTTGTTATATATTGTCAAATCAAGGTAATATATAAGGGTAATTCAGTGTTTGTGTCTAAAAAATTGGTACTAAAAGAAGCTGGACCCCCCCCCCCCCCAAGCGAAATATGTTTTTCGAGTTTGAAAATCCCCCTCTCCTTTTTTGCTTGTTAATTTTTTCCTCAGGTAAGTTGAATCCCCCCTTACTTTCAGAAAGTACGTCTCTGTATTGTAATAAAATAAGTTTTTTAAAACACGTTTTTATAATATTTTTGTGTGAAACACTCTAGCAACATATAATTCATTATTATTGTACTTAAAATTTTAGGAAAAATTCTAAATCTAAATCTGTGTCCATGCGTACGTCTTTGGGCATGCAGTTAGAAATTTAATAACTTTAAATGTATTTGGGACATTTCCCTTCGTGTACCTCTTTGGAGATTCTTATTCCGTCTCCAACAAATTCGATCTAGCGCGTGTTTTCATTTAGTTTTAAATTTAATCAGTATCGCTGAAATGTATGAATGTGAAATCTAAACAAAGGTACCTGTGAAACGTTTGTTTGATCACGATGGAATGTTTGGCTCTTGCTAGGTAGCGGCAAGCGATTCGGCGAATTTTAATCAATCATTCAATATATGACGTTTAAGCAATGTCAACACAAATGTATACGTAATTCTTTTTAACTGTAACGCAAGGTCATTTAAATGGAAGCTTCCTGTGAACTTTCTGTCATAAAATTTGAATGGGGGTCGGATTTGTACCCAATCTAACTCTAGTTTTAAACTGTTAAAAGTCATTTGTCATCTTTCTTAGCGCATTGTTTCAAACGGTATGTGATTTGTTTCTTTTAAAAAGAATGGATTGGAATATAGTGGCTGTTTTCTACAAGGAATTAGAAATCAGCGGTGTAGAATGTTGAAAAAGAGCTGATTTAATGAATGTGTTGCTTCGACGGATCTACTGTACCTAATTTTTGATCAGGCTATTTTATCAATCAGTCCAAACTGAAAAGGAAATATAGGTGGGTAAAATTAAACAAACGATCACAATCTTTTATGTCAAATTAATAATAGGAAAGTAACACTATTCGCAATTTTATTAAATCTGAATATCGATATATGTCCTGAGAGTCATTACATTAAAGAGTTACATTTAATTCATATATGTCCTATCTGTCAGATTTCCATTAACAGTTCAACAGATATTGTATTGTTTAATGGACTTTCTGAGCTTGAAAACTATTGCTATCTTCAAATATTTCATATGTAAATTATGTACCATAACAAACTGTATTAATATCCAAATGAGGGACAACAGTACTGTCATGTTTGATGAGTTTTTTAAATTAGGGAAAGTTAAGAAATTTGATTTGATGTTGTTTTGTAAGCGCTAGGGGAGGACAATGTTATTAAGGTTTGTGTAAGTAGAAAGCCCAAAGGATGGAATCAATTACAAAGCAATTAATGATTTTCCAGTTAATGTCCCCCATACGGAAAAAAAGGGCAAACAAACTACTATAACAAATTACTAACAAACCACTATGGTTTGAAAGTAGTTTAATAGTATAGCAAATCACATGCAAATGAGCTAACAAAGTATACTCTAACAAACTACTATCAAACCACTCTTAACAAACTACTATCAAACCACTCTAACAAACTACTATCAAACCACTCTTACAAACTACTATCAAACCATTCTAACAAACTACTATCAAACCACGCTAACAAACTACTATCAAACCACTCTAACAAACTACTAACAAATCACTGGTAACAAATCCATCAGCAAAACACTAGATTTGAATTTTCCTTTACAAATCCACAAGTCTTTGAAAACACCTAAAACAATCACATTTTGAAATACTAGTATTCAACAAGTCTTGTTTCAGAGTATTTAAATTCCAGGATTCACAAGTTTAGCCAATGCAAGTGCAACATTCCAACATGTTCCCTTTTGTTTAGGAGATGCATTTCCAAGTCAATGTCTATGTACTTGTCACATATTCTCCTTCATGTTGCGTACATTTTCATAGTAATTTTTCCAAAAAAATGTTCTTCAAGCTGACATTTAAATATTCCCTGCTTCATCTGGCATGGAAAATGCTGCAATATATTTCCTTTTTTTCTGGCCTCATTGCAACTTTGAAAAACATTTTTTTTTTGTCTTATTTTCAAGTATACTTCCCATAATCCAATGCATAACTGATCTGAACTAGTATAGGAATTAATTAGGTCAATCTGAAAATAAATAAAAACCCAAAGCTAGTAAAAAGCATACGCATCCACATTCACAGAAGGTTACTGTAGTCCAGCCTTACTTTAGGTAAAAAGGAACTTCATGACATGCATTAAATACCTCTTCTGTATCCAGATCCATCTTTTAATAATGTTAAATGCTGCTTTTTCCAGTCAGAGATCTTAGAGAATGATACTAACAATTTGAATGTCCCTTCACCAGTTCCTTTGTTTCTGACCTGCTTGGTGGTTTGAAAATTGGCGCAAATAGCTAACACCGGATGTAAAGATTAAGCTGTTCTTGGAAACTTCAACAATTCTAGATAATTCAACCCTAAACACGTCTGTAAAGTAATTTCCCATGTGGTTAGATGCAAATGCTATACTAATAAAACACTGTTGCAAGATACCAAGTCTAACAAACTATAAAGAAATCACAATCACCAGAAATGAAAGACTAACAAACCACTGCAGCTATTTTTAGAAAAAGTGGTTTGTTAGTGGTTCATTAAATGCTATACTATCAAACTACTTTAACAAACCACAAAAATATAGTTTGTTGGTAGTTTGTTGATAGTTTAATAGTAGTTTGTTAAAAATCTTTTCCGTTTGGGCCATTACTCTTTGAAATATTCTGTCCATTATGAATGTATTATTATGATTTCTAAATATAAAATTTTCCATCCCCTAAAAATAATAAACATAACTGATTATTGAACATCATATAAACCACTGTTTAATTCTGCAATATTTATAAAATTAATACAGTTGAAATTTGTTTCTTGGCTGAATTCTTGAATACCAGGGATATGTCAATGTGATTTTGTAGTCCGATTTTTAACTTTATATTGAATTCACAGATATCTCAAATTTTAAACATATACTGAAGGGAAAAAGAAACGCAGGGAAAACTTTTGAGGTGAATTAAATTTGTTTTTCTTAAAATACTTTTTAGTTTTCCTATCTAACTTTTAAAATCATCTTTCAAAAAGATATAACCAAATTCTCGTATGATTTTGTGTAATTATTCATGAGTTATTGAAGTTCAAATGACGATACCCCTCAAAAGGGAAAATTGAAAACTCTCATTATCTTCAATGTCCATCTCGTGCACCTGTCAGAGTCTTATTTCTCCTTTGCATGTAATTTCATCAGAGTGTTTATCTTTTAAACCCTGGCTATATTTAGCATGAGTAACCACGCAAAAAAATAAGTCAAACGACGCGCGCATGCGCCAGTGAGAGGAATACAACAGTAAGTTGACTGGCTCAAAAAACCAAATTGAGGAATTGTTTTCTTTCAAATTTCGTATGAATGTAATGATTATAATCGTGTACACTATAAATGGATGTTTTTGTGGTAGTAAGGTGGCGATTTAAGAGATGGCAGGATGAATAACCCACTCGTAATATGGCTCTGTATTGCGTTAACGTCAGCGTCACGGTTGATTGAAATTCACTCCAGACCCTCTCTGACAACGGCTAAAAAGTTTTATGGGGGAAAATTTACAAGAGACTGCTTAGTAAACTGTTGTTAGCTTTTTCATTAATGAGGCAATTCGTAAACAAGACCCCATTGAACTTCCGTAAACTGTGCCAAGATTGCAATAAATTCATAATGTCTTTTAATATTGAAAAACGATGTGGATACCTCATCTGCATCAAATAATGCAACAAGATTTGTGAACAAACACGTCGTTATCAAATTGCACGTGTTTTGGGCTTTTTAGCGTTTTCCCTACGTTACATAATAAATTTTACGGTTGAGTAATTCTGAATACTGATTTTGATGCACAGTAACTAAATTTCCCATCTGACCAATTTTCGTAATCTTCGGTCATGTGGTAAAATTTTTATCGACAATTATGCTACCCTGCGTTTCTTTTTCCTTTCAGTATATAATCCCTGTTTTCTGAATGTATTTTTTTTCTTCAAAATGCTGTTTTTGATGTATTATTAAAATGATGCTAACTAGAAAGGAAAAAAAATCTTTAAAATAATATGAATATTTGATAATTATTGTAATATATTTTGCTCATTTTTGTTATATATATAAAGGACTCAAACAGAGTGGGGGGTCTTTAAATGCATTTTTAGGTGGGCACACATGCAATGCATAGAACAGAATTAAATGTTAAGAACTTGAATATTTATGGTATATGAAAAGTTTTACTGCTCATAGGAAATGTGGCCCAAAGAAAAAATCCATTTACTCTTCCTATGAGGGAATCCTATGATCAATAGCCTCCCCACTTTTTCTGGTCTCAAATTAAAATTTAGTTTTCCTTGTGTATTGTTTTGTTATCTCGACTGATAGGTTACCTGAAAATAGATTTAACAGTTCTAAGCCTTTCACATGATTTTTTCCTCATGCAGTAGTTCTTTTTTCAAATTTCACTGGAACTTTGTGTCTTTCAAATTAAATTAGTAATTTAATATTAATTTAGGATTTTATTTTGCTTTGCTAGATTTTGTTCATTAATATCAAATTCAAAATTTGTCATGTGTTAATGTGTAACTGATTAATGTGAACATTAACTGCTTTCAGAATAACTTAAAAATTCTTTTTAAAAAATTGTCTTCTTAAATTACCAGGTAAACATATTCATTCCCATAAAGTAAGAGTACATTTAATTGAAGAGAGATATTGATTTTTTCATTAATAAGCTTTATGATTTATTATCTTCTATGACTACTTGAATGAATCTTATCTAGGTATTGATGTATGCTTGTAAGAATGTGTTGATGGGTGTGGGGGGAGAAAATGGCCATGCACTTTGGCCTAAATGATTTGTTTGAACTGTGTGTTCATTTTATCTTATATAGCCACTCTTCCAATTTGAAAAACCAACAGCTTTTCCCCTGATTAATGGGCACAAGGTATTCAACGGGACCCTTTACACTAAAATGTTTTCAAGTATATTTCATGCTCCTATGACATGACGGAACCATTTAGCCATGTATTTTTTAATCGGGGGTCTTTTGACTCTAAGTCATTCACAGCCATTGAAAAAATCAATATTGATTGTTGCAGGTCTAAATTTTGGCAGGCAGGTTTTAATAAGCTGGATCAATAAGAAATTGTGGGTTCCTTAACACTGGTGCTAAAATTACACTGACCAATTAGGAAAATGAGACTAATTTGACTCAGATCACGTACAAGTGACGGAAATTAGAATGGACATGCTGGAGTATTAAATGGGAAATTTTCATTCGTTCCGAATAAGGAGGCAAGTTCTTGAATTCCTATTGTTTCAACATGTGAAAGAACTATGAAAAAAAAAATGAAACTATAGACACTTATGTTAATTAAAGAAATAGTTACTGTAATTGTCAATTAATTTACAGGATTAATTCATTTTCATGATTATTGTTTGTGGTGTGTGTTAAATGATGAGTAAAAAATCTTGTAAAGTCCTGCTTAATTATTTTCAGGAAATAGTGATGAAATATTTACTAAATATTAAAATTTGATATATATTAGATGTGCAGAGCAAAAGAGAGTAATTGTGCAGTGCACAATTTAGGAAGTATGTGCATATATATTTTTAGATCTGAATGACAGGTTCATAAAGGCATACATGTTAACCTATTGTGATGAAAAAAAGGGAGATTTAGACCTCAAAAGCGGTAGCATTGCGCGCGTGTTGTTTAACGCTTGGATTATCGATATCTTTCATGCAATATACATGTATATTATACAGTTATAAGCCTTAATTGAAATCAGGTACCTACACTAATTAATCTTAAATATCAACAGCAAAGAAGAAGACAGAAGCACCTTAAGTTTGACATAAATTGTACAAATTCAAATATTTTTCATGCTCATCATTTTGCTTGGATTGGCTGCTTTACCTATAGCGCTAGCCTTTTGAACAGTGATCTTTGCTGAAATAGCCTAGAAGCAATAATTATGAATGTTCATTCAGTTTTTAATGGCATGGTTTAATATAGATCTAAAATAAGTTCGTATCTTTCGTTATATAAATCAGATTTCCCGCGATGATCGAAAACGAAAGTAGAGATGTGCCACATGGCTTGGTCAATTGAGTGATTTTTATTGACTTTATTGATAAAGTTGTGAGCTTCTGTGCTTCTAAAGACGATGTCAAGTCCCAAATGAAAAAGAAATCTAACAAAATACTTTCAAAATATCTTCAAAACACTACCAAATCATACTTTTATATTTTCTTAGTATGTTTTGAAAGTGTTGCAAACGAAACATCAATGCTATACTTTACAGGAAATTTTGTTAATGTTTCATTACAATGTTGGTGTTTTATTAATGTTTCATTACACTCTGCAGAATGAAATTGCATTTTGAAAGTGTTTCATTATACTTCAAATTAATATTTTGTTAATTTCATTTGATTAACAGACATGTTAAGGGTTGACTTATCTAAGAGCAGTAAAATCTTCCAAGAACAACTTATCTATTTATATCCTGTGTTACTAGTTTTGCGCCAATTTTCAAACCACCAGCACTAATTTAGGTCAGAGAGAAACATAGAGATTGGTGAAGGGACATGTAAAGTGTTAGTATATATATTGATCCCTGATTGGAAAAAGCAGAATCAGGATGAATCAGGATATAACAGAGGTATTTATTTATTGCATGACATAAAGTTCTTTTAAACTGGACTATACAGTTAAACCTTCAATCTGTGAATGTGGATGTGTATATGGCCTGTTTTTATTATTTTAAGATTGACCTTTAATCCATTTTATAAGCACTGGGTTAAATATAATTATACTTGAAAATTCTGTGAAAATGTATGTGAATGGAGAAATGGTCAATGGATTGAGAATTATATCTCTTAAACCAAAGGATTTCACTGCAGAGAATGATCGATATAAGAGAGTGATCATGAATCGAACTTAATTGGTGTTTTTAAATGTTGGAATGGTGTGTGTTGAACATGGAATTCAAAATACTGTGAAACAAGATGTTTATAATATGTTTCAATATGAGACTGTGTTTAGATGTTTTCAAAGACTTGTGAATTTGCTAATTATAATTTTAAAAATTCAAATTTAGTGGTTTATTGATGATTTGTTACTTATGCTTTGTTAGTGTTTTGTTAGAGTGTTTTGTTAGCCTCATTTGCATGTGATTTTCTATACTAATGGAATACTATCAAAACACAGTGTTTTGTTAGTAGTTTGTTAGAGTGTTTCGTAAGTATTTTGTTAAAGCGTTTTGTTAGTAGTTTGTTAGAGTGTTTTCAAAGTAACTTGTTATAGTGTTTTGTTAGCTCATTTGCATGTGATTTGCTATACTATCAAAACACTTTCAAAACATATGTTTTGTAAGTAGTTTGTTATAGTATTTTGTTTCCCCCTTTTTTTCATTTGGGACGTGTTTTCATCTAATTCTTAAAAGCTGTATCTCCTTTTTCATGGCAGGGATGTTGATTAATTTATCGTAACCAATGTAATTACTGGTAGTCTTATGTTGTTGTCGTTGTCAAATCCGTGCTTGAAAACTATGCACAAAAAAGCGTTAAACTTTGTATGATTCCGAGTCAAATCACGCGATATCTAGCGAGATTTTATGAGAGTGGCTTCAAAAATGGATACCCAAGCGAACCAAAAATACTTTAGACGCAGCTTTTGTAGAAAAGCGGTAGATTTCTGAATTAAATCGGTAGGCGGGAGATGGAGTGAAAAAGCGGTAGACTCCCGCCTAAATCGGGAGAGTTAACATGTATGATAAAGGTGTGATAACTTTGCAAGAGTTGATTGATGGACAGTATTTTTTGTTTTATCAAAAGTACATTGAACTGTGAATTTGACATGTTAAATTTTTGATGAAGAAGAACTAAAGGTTTTGTATACTGGATTCCATCTAGGGAATTGCATGTCAAACAGTGTCAATATACTAATATTTTAAGCTCTGAAATCTGATATTGTCTACAATAACATACAGGTGAGATGTGTGGAATTTAAGATAGGACAGAATGGAGGCTGCATGCTCCGTTTCTGGAGCTATAGAGCTATTATTTAAGATCTTATATGGTGTGATCTCCATATAAGGAATGTTGCACTGATTTTCATCTCTTTGTGTTATTGCTGCAGCTGTGTGGGGATTGGACTGCAAAATTTTTATCCAAATTGAGCTGCTATCGATTGGTTGAAATTTGTTATTTTTACGTCCTATTATACATGTATATCCAGTATATGGCATTATATATTCGATCCGATATTCAATTTCTGAAATGTACGTCAGCTTACATCTTAATAGAGATTCCATATTTCAATTCCGTAAGATCATTGACCTGAATTGAGGATAATTAATGTTTAAATGGATTCTTCAGCTATTGAGATGAATCTTGCAGAGACCAAATGATGAAGTTCTGATTCATTTTCTGTTCAAAATGATTTATACCTTTCATATTTAAGTTTTAAGGTAAACGATAAAAAATGTCAATGCACACACTTTCTTTTTTATTTTTTTGATTACTCCTACATGAAATATGTACAAACCTAGCATTTAAAAGTTCTAAAACATGTTAAAAGATGCTTCATTGCATTCCTTAATAAATTCTTTGCCTAAAAGGTGGAGGACGATGCATTCAATGTATCTATTGACTCGATAATCTGTCATGAAATCTTTTTGAACGCATTGATAAAGATTTAGCTGGTAGTGCAAAGCACCTCTACATCAATGTTGGAGTATACATGTACGTGTAATCTTTTTTTTGTTTGTGTAATCTTTTTTCTTTGTTTAATAATTATATTGAGTACCTTTGTTTTGGTGTCTAAACATACTACAGTTTCCTTTAAATTAACTTAAAATGTCCTTTAAAAATTGTAAATCAATAAAAAAAACAATCTTATGGCCATATTTAGAAGTGTTTTAGGTAGTAAAAGAGTTCAGAAATAGACCTAATGGTTTGATATGGTCTTTTTACAGCCATGTTTCCCTCTGCATGTCAAACGAAAGTGATTTTGTAATTGTTGTGTAATTTCCCATTTAAGTGTTTTATTTCAAGTGCAGGTAACCTGACCCTTTAATGCATGCAGTGTAATTGATCCATTAATAATACAAAGGAAAAAATCAATCTGTGTTACCTCTAAAAAGGATATCTGTTAGAATTTTATCATTTTGTAAAATCTGGTGTGGGGGACGTACATGAATATGTTATTGGTGGGAATGGGACCATATTTGACTATTTTTGGAAATATTCAATGTCATTTACTTACTTGTATTTTACGGTCTAGGGTAATAAAATCACTTTGTTATAAGCATGTTCACTATAATTACTGTATTATACAGGGAAATCTTTGCCCCCATTTTATTTTCACCCTATCCTCCTTTGGGCGAATTTAAAACGGGGCGAATTCAAAGAATGCAGTATAATTTCTTAGACAAAACTATGACAGGGCGAATTTAAAATGGGACAAAATTGTTTTCATATGTGAAAGGGCAAAAATAACACAGAGCGGAAATAACCCCGTATACAGTAATTAATAAATCTACTGTATTTGTTTCTTGACTAGGAATGTGTATTAAGCCGAAAAATGACATTATTTGTCGCCTTTAGAGGGAAAAATAATCAATATACATTGATATATACACTTGTATATATATGCCTTTAGCATTGTAGGCAAAACTCATTAGACATTTACTTTAAAATGAATTCTATGTCCATGTGGGTTTGAAATTGTTTGAATATTTACTCAGAGACTAGAACTATTGTGTTTTAGAATGAAATTGAGCATAAAGTCGTAATAAATCAAACATTTAAACTTCAGTACAGTTATGTCAGACTTACGTTGAAGAAGTGGTACAAGGAAATCCTCTCAATTTCAAAATTAAGTCAATATTAGGACAACTATAGCTTACTCTAGCAGACTTTTCCACTTGAAATTGATCTGGTTACATCACAATGGCATGTAAACATTTATTTTTGGTACAAAATATACATTAAAATTTTGTCATTTCTTTTATGAAGATAAAATTTGGAAAAAAGTAGGACTCCGCAACAGGATTAGAAGTTCATTAAAAAATTACCAGTCTCAATCATTCCAAATTAGATCAGTGATCCGCTCTGATTAGAATGCGCTACACAATTTGTGTAGCAGTGGTAGGTTGGAGCAAAAGATCTAATTTTAGTTTGATTGCAATCATTCTTTCTTCATATTTTCTACTCTCTTTATCTGAACTCCTCAGATATCTCCAAGTATATAAGCTTGCGTGTCATTCAGTTTGAAATATAGATGTTTGCCTGTATATGTCCTTTAATTTTTGTACTTTTGATTTAAAGGTGTATAAGAAATGGGGAATGGAGCTTCTGCAGATGAGAGTCCCAACACAATCCGAGTTCAGGCAACTCCCACCCCCCGAGACAACAGAACTCAAAATCCCCGCGACAGCCGGACTCAAAATGGGGGACCACCGGAAAGGTCCAGACGGAAAGGGGGAGGTTTTCAGGAAGTAGAAATTCAAGAGACTCCTAGACAGGGAAAATCTCAAAACTCAGTCAGACAAGGTCAGCAGGGTCAGAGTTCAGAGGGGCGGAGCCAGCGACAGGGTCAAGCAGGGGGAAGTACCCAGAGGCAGGGACAAGCCCCGGGGGGTAGCACCCCTAGACAGTCAAACCAGCGAGGGGTAAGGCAGAGTTTCTATAAATCTCTGTATGCAGTAGAATTTAAAAGTAGAGGATAGATTAGTTTGCTAATTTTTAAGCATATTTTTATATCAACAATATTGATACCTGTAGATGAAGAATAATGCCTAACTGCTTTTTGGATAATATTTTGTAGTTTTTCACTATACAGAGTTAAATGTTTGTAGTATATTTAGGCATTTTGTCAAGATTATGGTTTGAATCATTGAGCTTAAAGGAGGTCCATAAATGTCAAGTACATGTTTAACAAAATTAATATTTATATGTGCTTGCACATGCTTTTTAAATATCAAAACTTTTAGTCAAAGGAAAAAATAAGAATGAATACAGTGTATTATAAAAAGAATTTCAGAAATTTCTTATCAATTTTTATTAAATATAAATTAATAAAAAAAAATATTAAGGGTAAGTTTTTTTTATTAGAGAGCTTAAGTACATAGACTGTAGAGGATAGTTTAGCTCACAGTACACCTAGTAGTTTTTATGCCTCGCTTGATTTTTCTAGTCATCCCAGAATGCTGCTTCAGAGGAATCGGTGAGATGCTTTATTGTTTTTAACCGTGTTTACCATTGTGTGCTTTTTGGTAATCCCCAGGGAGTTCTATTTTTTTTACTCACATTTCAGTTTTTTGCATGCTGCAACTTTTGGACTTGAATTTGGACCTGACACTTGATCAGTTATCACAGTTTGCATGATATGTAGTATGTTTGTTATAACCACTCTTTGTTGATTCTGTGAATGCCTGTAACAAAATCCCATGAATCTATGATATGTTATAATTACTCATTGTTGATCCCATGAGTCCTTATATAATCACTCTGTTGATCCTTTAAGTCCCTGTTATATAATCTTTGCTGATCCCATAAGTCCGTGAAATGTAATCACTCCTTGCTGATCCCATAAGTCCCTGAAATGTAATCACTCCTTGTTGATCCCATGAGTCCCTGTAATATAATCTCGCATGGTTGATCCCATGAGTCCCTGAAATATAATCAATCTGTTGATCTTATGAGATCCCATAATAAAATCAGTATCTGTTGATCTATCATGTCCCTGTAATATTATTACTTCCTATTGATCCTGTTAGTCCTTATGATAAATCCTACTTTGTTGATCCTCTATTATAAACACTCTTTGCTGATCCCATGAGTTCCCGTTGCATCCCAAGAGTTTCTGTTATGTAATCACTGTTGCATCCTAAGAGTTTCTGTTATGTCATCAATGTTGTTCCCATCAGAGTTCCTGAAATATAATCACTGTTGCTCCCAATAGTTTCTGTAACATAATCAATATTGATCCCAAGAGTTCCTGTAATGTAATCACTATTGCTCTCAAGAGTTTCCATAATATAATTGGTGTTGATCACAAGAGTTATTGTAATGCAATCACAGTAGTTCTCCCATGGGTTTCTATCAATATTGTTCCCAAGAGTTCTTGTAATATATTCACTATTGCTCAAATGAGTTTCTTATGCTCCAAATATATTCAGTCAGATACCAAGAGTCCTGTAATGTAATGTAATCAGTGTTAATCCCAAGAGTTTCAGTAATGTAATAATTATTGATCCCAAGAGTCCTGTAATGTAATATAATCAGTGTTGATTCCAAGAGTTTCTGTATTGCAATCAGTGTTGTTCCCAAGAGTTTCAGTAATGTAATAATTATTGATCCCAAGAGTACTGTAATGTTCATATAATTCCAAGAGTTACTGTATTGTAATCAGTGTTGATCCCAAGAGTTTCTGTAACAAAATCAGTGTTGATTCCAAGAGTTTCAGTAATGTAATCATTATTGATCCCAAGAGTCCTGTAATTTAGTGTAATCAGTGTTGATTCCAAAAGTCCTGTAATGTAATGTAATCAGTGTTGATCCCAAAAGTTTCTGTAATGTAATCAGTGTTGATCCCAAGAGTCCTGTAATGTATTGTAATCAGTGTTGATCCCAAGAGTTTCTGTAACAAAATCAGTGTTGATTCCAAGAGTTTCAGTAATGTAATCATTATTGATCCCAAGAGTCCTGTAATGTAGTGTAATCAGTGTTGATTCCAAAAGTCCTGTAATGTAATGTAATCAGCGTTGATCCCAAGAGTTTCTGTAATGTAATCAGTGTTGATCCCAAGAGTTTCTGTAATGTAATCAGTGTTGATCCCAAAAGTTTCTGTAATATAATCATTATTGATCCTAAGAGTCCTGTAATGTAATGTAATCAGTGTTGATCCCAAGAGTTTCTGTCAGTGATGATCCCAAGAGTTTCTGTAATTTAATCACTGTTGCCTTCAAGAGCAGGGGACCACAATTCTTTGAATTTGCTTGTTATCTTAAAAATTCCTGTAAAGCACTGCTGATACCATGAGTTCCTGAAATACAGTAAAGCAAGCTTATATAGCGTCTTTATGTTTATAAATCTGTTCATGTTCATATAAGTAAACTGTATCTATATCCTCTTATCTAGACAATATACTGTTAGAAATATAAAATGTATGCATAAGACCCTTTTCTCTGTTTCTGTACAATTTTATGCTTTTTTCCCTCCTTTTTTCTGTCATCTTTTCAAGTATTTCCTGTGCAATATTGTACCTCTATTTTATGATTGGAATTATACATTTTTTAATTGATTCAGAAAGACAAAATTCATCTTCTGAAATGTTTATACATTGTTGTACTTGCAAGTTTTTTTTTTGCATTGAAACACACATTTTTACAATGTTATGATAGTACACATACATGACCAGTTATGATGTGCATTGATTATAAGTGCATGGCTTCATTTGATTGAGATATAATATGTCATTCAATTGAACTTTTACATATATTGCACAATGACCTCGTGTCTCTCAGTCGATGTAAAAACCTGGCAACAATTCTACAAATAAACTTAAAAATACACAACAATAACCCCCTAATCATGATGTTATGTCGCGCGCGAGTCCCAAGTTCAATATCTGTATGGCTGTGTAACACTTTTAGGGGGGATTAATGATCAATTTATTTGACCCAGATCTTAAATACAAAAGCCATTTAAAAAACTGGCTCTGGATTCTAAAACAATGAAGAACTTCCAAGTTCAAATTTGGTTAGGTACATTGTTAAAACCATTACATAGGAGCTATGAGCTGAGATGTACTGAAAAAACTAAACATGGGCTAAAACCTAATTAAAAATTTAGATCTGAATTATGTATATATATATCCTATAATCCAAATTATCTAAATGAATACTTATTCAACAACAATTTCAACAAATAATATGTTAACTAAATATTCTGCTGAATGTGCATTTATTTTAAGAAATTCCCTAATTATATGTATATCTTTTCCAAATTTTATGAATGCATGAAAATTTCATCGTTATGCATGCCCTTACATTTTAAGGTCAGAATTAAATGGCTTCGATGCAGAACAGTGATTGCAAAAGGAAGGGTGTATAACAACAGAATTTTTCTTCTGTTGGTAAGAATGGTTTAAATGCCTGGTAAGGAATTGAGCAATCAATACTTTTATATAACAGTATACAGACACTCACCTGTCTGGACTAATTGAAGGAGAATCTTACATTTTTCTTTGACTTAAACCAGGAACTTCCTTATATTAAATCAGGATTTATTGGAGAGAAATTATATAATCTTCTTCATTTGTGGATTTCTTTGGAAAAGGACCTAAAGTGGTTTGTTCTTTTTAAGATTTACTTGTACTTGTGTCACTAAGTGATAAAACTAAGACTATGAGTGGAGGGTCAAATATTAGGATAAAACATGGGGTCTGGAGCTTCCAAACCTCCATCAAAAACTAAAGAAGAAACAGACAGGGATAAAGAAGCAACAGGATCGACCCGTGGTAATCCAAAACAGGAGACGAGCCAAGAAGGTCAGAGTTCAAACGCAAATCAGGTGACGAGCCAAGGAGGTCAGAGTTCAAACCAGGGATCAACCAGTGTTAGAGCAGGTGAAAACCCAGGACAAAGAGAAATAGGAAAGAGCTCAGTAGAACAATTACTGGGAACCAAGAAAAGGGGGGAACCAAACCAGGTTGTCTCTAAAAAAGGGGATAACTCAGCAGTACAGGTGAATCAGGGACAAGGGTCAAACAATCAGAGATCAGGACAGAGAGGTCAGCAGGGTCAAACTAGAATGGAGGCTGCATCTGGTTTTGGAAACACAGCTGCTCAGCAGAGCTCAGGGACTGTAAGCCTATATATGTTAGATTCTAATAAACTTAGGGCCTCTAAATCTATGATAGATGCCCCAGTTTGGTAAGCTCTTCGCTGTAGGTCCTAAATATATAGTGTGTGCTTGTAAGGTTAAAATATATACATGCATTATATAATTACATTCTTCAGTAAGCCTAGGGATCGACTGTAATGGATACAAAGTTCTATATCTCTCTGTCTTGTAAGGTTATCATATGGATTTTAAGTCTTTGTTTATTTCTAATATGCTTAGGGACTGTGAATCCGTGATAGTTTGATAAGTTATTGGCATTTAATCCTAGATCCTATGATATCCAAAATCTATGATAGAAGCCTAAGTTTGGTAAGCTTTTGGCTGTATTAAGTCCTACATGTATCTCTATGTCTTGTAATGGTCATGGATTGCAAGTTTCTATCTATATATCTATTTGTGTGTTAGTCCAGCAATTTTTAAGTCTTAGGGAAGCTAGGCATAGTAATAGTCTTTATGTGTTGTGTTGATTCATCAACTGGTAGGTTCATTTTAGATCTAATTTTGTAAACATAGAGAAAGGAGTCCTGAAATCATCTTTAATGATAAGTAATGTAGGTACTTTGAGCATTTCAGTTTTATAGATTTCTGTAGTGCATTAAGAAAGGAGTCTGTGTTAGCTTTGTGAGTTATCTCAGGACCTTGATCTCTCAGTCAAGAAAACTCAAGACTTATAGTAAGTCTGGAAGTCAAATAAACTCAGGAACCAAGTTCTAATAAGTCTATACAGCACCATTACTGAGTATGATAATATTAAGCTTCTTCATGTAATGAGTAAATGAAGAAATAAAAAAGGAAATATATCTCTAGACTACTTTAAATTGTTGGCTAAGTACATGTATAAATCTGTTTTGAAGTTTGAATTGTCATGCCATTACGTTCTTTTGTTTTTCCCATTTCTACCCAGGAAAAGTATTGTCATCCATGTAAACAAGTCTACCACTCTGAAACGCAAAAACACCCGAGATATTGATAATCCATCTAATCCCCTGGCCTCTCACCTTTCAGTGGTTTTTAACCAAATATTTCCTACTCAATATTATAGATAAATATATGCCGTCCGTCTATATGATTGATATTTTTTTCACTCGTTAGGTGGTCTTGCCTGTGTCTGGTATCGATTTCAATTGATTTAGTCATTAACACTACAGCAATTATAATACACTCTCTCGCAAGCTGCGGGCCTTTTGAAAGTTTCATAAAATCCATATCCATCATCTTTAGTCCTGCAGAGATCATTGAGAGTCGTTATGGGTGACTGATTTCTGCGTGGATAGGAAGGAAAAAAATATCAAGTCAATTTCTTGATCATCGATTTCTTTCTTTTCCCAAGGTTATAATCCAGGAGTTTCTTTCACACTGCATGCTTTGATGTTTTGAAATTTTTATTTAAAGTGATGCTTTAACTGAAAGATGCTACTGAAGCATGATGGGATAAACTTCTGAATGAAAATTAAAATTTTTTTTAATGAAAAGATCAAGAATAAATGACAGATAGTTAAAATGCACCATTTGCAATAGCAATACACATTATAATCATTTTAGATTCCTCAGGAAACACAAATTCATTGGTGTCCATTTGTTAAAGGTGCAGGTATAAATTAAAATATACAACTCCTGTATTTGAAGATCATATAGCCTTACTTATAAAAAAGTATTGTAAACATCCTGGTTTATTTCAGGTTCGTGAACTTAATTCAGAAACCTCATGACTTATTGTACACGATGTGAGATAATGACTTATGTTTATGACTTTGAATCTCATATTTCAGATTTAAAGTACCTTGTAAATGAATGTATTATTGCTTGATTTGCTTATAAATACCAGCTATAGTATAAAAATGTTTATGAATCCACATTTTCATTCTTTAAGTTCATTTAAATTCACACATGTCGAAATGAAAGAATTTTTTTTTTTTACATACAGTTTCTGGTTTCAGTGATAAAGAGTGCAGTTGACTTTAAATTTTGATTGGCAAAAGTATGGTCCAAAAAAAAACAACACATATAGCTACATTTTTGTCATAATTTTCATAAATGATCAGGTGAACTTTCTTATATTGTAATTCAGACTTCTAGTTATTGTATATCAGTAACTGCAATTGAAATGTTCAAATTCACTTCAATGAAAATTAAATGAACATTTTCATTTGAGGAGATAAATCAATTTGAAAAAAATACCTGGACATTGAAGCTTTACATCTATAGATATAATTTAAGACCAGCATTACTGACCATGGTTATTTTTTTTATAGGGACGTGAAGACATAATCTTTGAGACGTTTTACCACAAGAGTGGGAAGGAGTTCCAATGTATGTACCTGGATGGAATGAGGTTTTACCTTGATGACTGGGGATCAAAGGTAACTGATTTTTTTTCTTAATGAAAGATGGAGAACACATTTATACAGTCAAACCTGGTTGTGTTGATGTTGTCAATGAAGGGACATAGAAATTTTGTTTTAGATATTTGAGATACTGAGGTTAAATAAATTTGTTGAAGAACAAATGCTTTGGACTTCCAATTTACCACTTCAAGGTTTGAATACCCATGATAAGGGTTGTCCCTAAGACTTAGGGGCAAGAGAATTTTCCCGCTTATACTGTATACAGGGTTATTTTTGCCTTGTGTAATTTTCGCCCTTTTACACTTGCAAACAATTTTGCCCCGTTTTAAATTCGCCCAGGCACAGTTTTAAATAAGAAATTATACTGCGTTCTTTTAATTCGCCCCGTTTTAAATTCGCCCAATTGAAAGTAGGGCGAAAATAAAACGGGGGCGAAAATTTCCCTGTATACAGTAATGGCATAATCAACTGGTTATTCTGGCAGTCTACCTTATAAATTCTTGGTTTTAGAAGAAGCCAAAACCACCTATTTTTTTCATGTTCTCTGTTAATTCAATTCTTAGGGTCAACACTGCATAAAAGCATTATATAATATCTACATATTTGGTACTCATGATGAGATGTTAAATTTCAACTCAGTTAAGTTTTTTGATTCCATGAATGACTGTTTTAGTTGTTCAGAAAGATTTATGTAAAAATCAAACAAATGCTGTTACCGGTATTGTATTTACCTTGTATTTTTCAGGAGTGGCAGCCCTTTCCTAAGAGATGGTACAATGAAGGTCTACTCATCACTAACTCAGTCGTCAAAGACCAGGAAAATGTAAGATTGATTTTTATAACCAGAATATATTTTCAAATATTAGTGTTTTATTTCCACAATTTGTTTTGAATGCCTCATTGACCATTTTATTGTCTCCACTTTTTGAAAAACTGAGAGAGCATATTTCTTATATTGCAAAATAAAGTCACTGTGTAAATTAATTAAGACAATGCATAGATCTATCAAACAGAATTGTTTTAGAATTTACTTTGTTATTCCCCCATAACAAAGTAAGGGGAATATAGTAATACACCTATTGTGTGTGTGAGAGAGAGTGTGTGTCAATGACAAAGTGCCCTTTTGAGAGGGCTTTGTAGTGCCCTTGTTCAACTTTGTTGTGTTGTTGTCTTTCAGGAGAATCGACGTCGTCAACAACAACAACAACAGTCCCAGCAGTCGTCTGGAGCAGGAGCCTCGGGGGGTCGACAACAACAGCCCGGGTATCAACAACAATCGTCCAGCGGTCAGGACGACAGGGAGGGGGTGCTTAATCACCCCAAAAGGGGCCGCATTCCCACCTACATATTCCAGGTATGTCCTATATAGGATTTGTATATGAAAAATGTCCATCTTTGTGGAATGCCTTATTTGGATGATAGAAAATATTACTAATTTAAATTACAATGAAGAATAACTATAAAAGCACCACTTTGTATTAATATTAGTGCACAAGAACTTGCACAAGAACTTTTTCGAAGCTAAAATTTATAAAAAAGGTAAGGGTTTTCTTCAGTTTAAGCTTTTCTTTTAGGACATCAATATCTTTATTAATTATCTAATGATATTTAATTCTCCAGAGAAAACACAACATCCACTGTTTCTATGACCACACTCAAGGTCAGTGGATGCGGCTACCGATTGGTTGGGAACTTCATCATGAGATGGTGGGAAAACTGGTGGACCAGGTAGAGGAGGCCCTCCCGACCTGGGGGGACAGGCAGGATATCCTGGCCCTACTGAGGCAGTGTAACTACGACCCCGACGAATGCATGTCTACTTACCTACATCTGGAAGGGGATCGTAAGTGAAATAAACCAAGATTTCATAAAAATCAAGTGTAAATAATAAAAATAATAGAGTATGCAAATTTAAAAAAAAAAGTCAATTTGAAAAAAAAAAATTAATATAGAACATTTGTACCTCAAATCTTCTTCTACAGTGTACCTAGCAGAGAGAAAAACATGAGAATGAAGCTTAATGCTTTTTAAACATCAATGTTTATTTTATTACAGCATGGCTGAAAGCCCCTAAAACCCACAAAGAAGCGAAAGCAGCCGAGGAAAAAGATGAGACGATAGAACAACTCCGACAGCAGTTAAAGGAAGCCGTGAGTTGTGACTTAATCTGCTTTGATTAAAGAATGTGAATAAAGGTTTAAAGGAAGATAATTATACTTTAATTAATTTCTTATCTGACAGTGTATAATTGTAGATAAACAAACAATATGAATTTTAAAATTAATTCTGAAAATGCTAAAAAATCAATTTCTTTAAGAATTTTTTTTTAAAGAAATTAAATTTCATTCAGTTTATTATTTATCATACATGTATGCAAACATGTTTATTTTAGTCTTGTAATGTGAAATTTCAAATCATATTTTTCATTTTTCCATTTCTTGTGAAATATTCATGCAGATATGTTTGTGTTTATGGTGATATAAGAGGAGATAACTCTATGACATTCTGAAATTCTTGGATTGTAGGAGGAGTCACTAAAACAAGAAAAAATAGCCAGAGTAGAAGCAGAAAAAGTGGTAGGTGTCTCTAAAGACTGGGAATTAATTCAATAATGTATTTTCAACAAAATATAGAAAAATTTTATGTGCAATTAATTTTTTTTCAAAGGTTAACATTTTTAGCAAAACCTTTGTGGCTAATTTGGATTAACATGATTAAAAGGCCCAAAGGCATCTTTGTTTCAGTCTAAGGCATTCACATGAATATATTCATTAAAATAATTAATATAAATTTTACAATATTTCCCATCCCAGGTCAAAGATCAGGAAGAGAAGATAACAGAATTAGAGGTAGAAAACAAACAACATGAGGCCCAGTTAATGTCTCTACAACAAAACCGACCCAAGACGGCCATGCAACGACCAAAAACACCTCAGGTATGTTTAAAAAGACTTATACATGTACATGCAGCAACTTCATGCTAAGTATTATTTTGTTCATATTAAAAAAATGTCCATATAAATATACTTATTGAAGGATGGTGTAATTTTCCCAAGCTGCGTTAAGCAGATTTCAATACATTGCCTGTCAGTTTAGAGGGGACACGTTATTTACGAATAATTTCATTTAATTCTCTTGAAGGTGGTTACTCAAGTTGTAAAGGAGGAGACAGTAAATCCAGATGACATTGTGCTGCTTAACAACACTGCGAAAGAGCTCCGAAAGGCTCAGGTTCACCTCAAAATGGAGGTTCAGCGTTACTTTGATGTCCTACGAGGCCAGATTACCAAGGTAATTGTAAACATAATTTTTTCCGCTAGGTCATAATTCCATGGATTTGCAGTTACTATTCAATCATCAGGTAGAAAATTAAGTGGATATCCTAGATTGCCACTATATGTGTTAAATATATTGAAGGTAGACTGGGGAAAATTTCTTTGGAAAATTGTTGACCCCGTACATTAGCATAAATTAATACATACCACATGGAAAAAAATGACTTCTGCAGTAAATGTTTACAAAAAAATTGCTTTTTCCTTATAAAAAAAACCATTTTGATTATGGTTTCTGCTAATGCTTATACTTTTGTGTACAGGCCAAAGATGGTGTGAAGAATATAAAATCTACCAGCAGTGGAAGTATGGAGGAGATGGAGGAAATTCGGGCTCTCTACCGAAAGGAAGCCATGCAGAGAAAGCTGCTGTATAATCAGGTCAGTAGGTCAAACATGTCTATAATTAGGTCAGAAGGTCAAACTTTTATGTATTAAATGGTTATATTAAGAGTAAAGGTGACAATAAATTGTAGGGAAGAAAAGTAATTATATTCTGCTTTTCACTATATACATGTATGTGTAAACTGTGTCACAAAAATTGTGTAATTAAAAGCATGCATGACTTTCTACAGAGATTAGTAAATTGCAAAATCAAAAATACATTGATAACATATTTCACTTTTGAAAAACTTTAATATATCGTGAACATTCTTACACATACATTCAACTTATATGTTTATTGTCTCTTACAGCTACAAGAGCTGCGGGGTAACATTCGCGTTTTCTGTCGCGCCAGACGAGATGACAGAGTGAGCTGTTGTTTGAAGTTCCCCACAGACTCGGACATTGTCGCTATGGACAACAATGGGCAGAAGAAAATGTTCTCTTTTGACAAGGTGTATGAACCTAACTCCACACAGGAACAGGTTTGTGGAAAGTGATAACTTTGAAGGATCGAGGTGGGGGGAGGGGATTAGGGTGGAAATGCCAACTCTTATTACTATAAGTCTAGCTATGAAATTACAATTTCAGTTGCATTATCACATTAAAAAAATTGAGAGCTTTGTTATTTAAATATTCTCACTTTGATTATTTGCATTCAAATTTTCCTGAAATATTATGACTTAATTATTACCTTCTACTCCAGATTCCTACTTTCACTTTCATTTTGTCTTTCAGATCTTTGGTGACACTAAAGCCATAATCTCTTCCTGTGTAGACGGTTACAATGTCTGTCTGATGGCTTACGGACAGACGGGATCAGGTAAAACGTTCACCATGATGGGACCGGAGAACAACCCGGGAATAAACATCAGGTCAGTCACTTGTATTAATGTACCTCTTACACTAACTTGGCTGTATTCTTGTTTGTCTATAGTTATGTTATATCATCATTCTCTTCATCACACTTGTGAATGTAAGTCAGTCAGATTACCTGTACATGTATGTAGATCATCATTTCTACATCATCTGTTTTTATGTATCTCTACTGTCAACTTTTAAAATTAGTAATATATATCTTTAACCAGTCAGTAGTAGTATTATATCTCAAATTACTCACATGTATTTATGAATCTCTTTAATTATTTCAGTTATCTTATTGATGTATTTCTCATTTACAGGGCTATGAAGGAGTTGTTTGATGTTTGTAAAGAGAGAGTGGACACAGTCTCTTATACATTAAAGGTAACCTAAAGAGTGAGAGCCAAGAAAAATTTTACAGCTTCAATCATATTTTTTAAATGAAACCCTTATCCATAGGCTGAGATTTTGATTTTATTTAGGTCTCACTGAGTTGTTGGTTTTATTTCGGTCTCACTGAGTTGTTGATTTTATTTAGGTCTCACTGAGTTGTTGATTTTATTCAGGTCTCTCTGATCGAGATATACAATGAGACGATACAGGACCTGCTCACCTCGGATGCCAAGTCACTGGACCTGAGGACCGCGGGGAATAAGGTGTCCATTCCAAACCTTAAGGAGGTCGTGATTAAGAATCTGGACGACATCAAGAAAACCATGGCTCAGGGAGACAAAAACCGAACGGTGGCGTCCACCAAAATGAACTCAACCAGGTAAAAAATACTGTAGATCACTTAATTTTTCGCGACACCTTGTTTCTGCGAGATATAGTCATTTACTTTTTTTTAGCAAGACAAAATTTTAATTGTGGTTTTTACTTTGTATAGCCCAAAGGAATACTTATACGCGAGAATGAAATTTTTCCAAGCACACTGCCTCCGTAATAACGCAAAAATAAAGTTCACGCGAATAGAACGTGATTTATAGCAACACAAAATTTAGTTTTCACATTTCAGTTCATGGATAATTAAAAGTTTGCAAAATAAGTATTGGATCGTGTAAGGGTTGAATTCAATGTAGTTATTACTCAAATGTTTAAATTGGGTTCACCTGCTTCCTTACAGTTCTCGTTCACATCTACTGTTGATGCTGAGTGTTGAAGGTCAAGACAAGGTCACAGGTGCAATAACCAAAGGTACGCTGACTCTGTGTGATTTAGCTGGGTCAGAGCGCATATCTAAAACCGAGGCCGAAGGTCAGAGGTTAGTGGAGGCTGCTGCCATCAACAAGTCACTGTCAGCCCTAGGGCAGGTAAGAAATCCTTGAGTAGGAATGAAAAATTGATAGCGATAATTCTGTGCATATGATCGAAATGCTGTTTAGGTATCATTTAATGTTAGAGAAATCATCTTAACATATTTTACACAAATTTGCCATTTGCTTCATTAATGTTTTATCTGCATTGTTTCAAGGTACAGATGTATTTGTCTGTTGTGTGTAAAAATGGGCTTTTTATGTACAGGTGTTCACAGCCCTAAGAACCAGTCAGCTACATATACCGTACAGAAACTCTAAACTGACCCAGATCTTACAGCCTTCCCTGGGAGGGGATGCTAAGGTAAGTAACAATCTTCTCTCAAACAAAGGAAATTGGTGACTGGCACTTGTTCAAAGATTTAGTTGTCTAAATGTTCACTTAAATGAAAAGTTAACATAACATCAAATTTAATATCAACATACTACAGACATGTGAGCTTTCAAATTTTCAAGTACCATATAAGTGGAAAATTTAGTGATTTGCCCTTAATTGGTATTTTATTTTTAGCAAGATGTAATTTTAATGATTTAAAAATGGTCACTAAAGGTGCTATTACAAAAAAAACAAAATTAATTTTCATTACTGATATTCAATTTTAGTGATCTCAGCATCCTCCCTAATAATGCCAAAATTAAATCTTCGCTAAAAATTCTGCTTTCATGGTATATCTGAATTAGTTTGCTCTGTTTTCCAAATTTGGAAATAACACCATATCAGAGGATTTATGTTTTTTGAATTGTCTTGTTTCAGGCTTGTTTGTTTGTTAATGTCAGTCCGGATGTAAATAACTTCTCTGAGACTGTGAGCACATTGAACTTTGGATCGAATGCTAAGCAGATAGCCCTGGGACAGGCTAAACAGAACATCCGCAAAGGGCCGTAGTCAGAGACTGGTCATTTACAGGGAATGGACTAAAAAAAAGGGCCATAGTCTTAGACTGGTCATTTATAGGGAATGGACAGAGAAAAGGGTCTTGATCATAGACTGGTTATTTATAGGGAATGGACAAAAAAAAAAAAAAACACCAATGTTAAATTTTAACTATTAATTATTTATTGAGACTTTCTTTATTGTTTATTGGGCATCTGTTCTTGAGTCAGACAGAATAGTTGTACTTTTTTGAAATGTAATGCATTATTTGAAACTCTTATTAGAGGAAAGGCAGGTCCCCACTTCTAAGAGTTATAAGGAGAAAAATAGTGTATCATTCCCCATGGTACAAGAATTATGATAAGCAATTTTGATTTGATATCGAAACTTATGAAGAGGCATTATATTATGAATTGGTGTTGATGTATTAAATTTTCTTTGTATTTTTGAACTGATTGTTTTTGTGGCATTGAATTTGATAAATGTAATTTTAAGATGGAAGTGGTACATGTTTTCACTTGTATACTGTTTCAATTTGATGAATGTTAAACATTTTTAATCATTAGAGTTCAATTATTTGAAGAAATGGTTTTAAAAAAATGTTCTTAAATTTCTTGCAATGTTGACTTGATACTGAATTTTAAAGGAATTCAAAACAGCACTAATTTTTTTTCTTCAAAATTACAACATAAACAATTTTTTCTTTTGCTAAATGTTTGGATTTTTCAAAGGATTAAGAATCATATAAAGGATATTTTTTCAACATCTTGCTACATTGAACATATTGTCTTATTGCCTTAATGTCTGTGGTATTTCTATAAAAGATAAACTGTATCTGCCTTTATTCTTCAGTATTATAGACCAATTTTTTGTTTCAGAAATTCCTTGTCTTTGTGTGTCATGGTGCAAATAAAGAAGAGATCATTCCCAATATGATCTACATGTACTTCTTTACAGTGATGGAAATTTTATCATAATATCATGTCTAAGTTAAAATATTATTTGTGCTGAAGTTTCATAAAATCTGCAGTTGGAATGAATATGAATTTAATCTCAGGTTCATGCTGGTGTTTGGTCTTTCTTGTAATATAGCTAGAACCTCGATTCTAATGTTCTAAAAATGTATGGAGAATTTACATTTATCATAAAAATCCCTTTATTTATATACTAGATTATTTTAAGACATTTTGTTTAATTTGTCCTGATTTATATCAAGGATACACAATGAGGCATTTGATCTTCTCCATAACAGCTAGTGCCCCATCTACTGAACTCTCCATAGATGTGCAAATAAAAAAAATCTTAATGTATTGCATTTAAATTGGAGATTTGGTGTTTATCCACGATCCCCTTTAACATGTTTAAGAAGGTATAAAATCTCATTTTTGTTCTTGTTTCAATTTCGGGTCACATATATACATATTTATTGCTGCATACAGCTTAATATATAACTGTATATTTGTACATTTTCTCCATTTTTGCTGGGTATTTATGATACATGTATATAGTTATATGTATATCCCCAAACTGTGATAACAGATTTATTTTTTGAATACATTTATTTTATTCCGTCCTTTTGTACATGCCCTTCCCTCAATTTGTTGTAAATGTTGTTAATTTTAAAATAACTTGATATATAAAACCTTTAAATGGACTTGGATCATGTTTTCTGTAAAAAGACATAGATATATGTTTCAAGATACTGTTTATTTCTGATTTATTGAAAGGAATGTACAAATTTTATTTATATTTTGAAATCAATGGTAAATATAAATCATTGTTAAAGTACCTGTGTATTCAGCTTTTAGAAGATTGGTACAGGGATGATTGCCAATGAAAATGTGTATGTGTTCATGAAACATTAGAGGCAGACAAAATCTTCAATACAGACTATCTGATGTGCTATCCCTTATTTTAAAAAACAAAGTAAAAGAAATTAAACTTTACAAAGGATATGGAGGGATGAATTAATTACTGTACAGGGATTACGTATATTGTTATATCATTTTGTTGTCATTTTTATTTATTATTTTGTGTCCATATACCAATATATTAACCCATATATTTACATATATGCTTATGGACATGGACACTTCAACAAAAGTATTCATTAGAAAAAGAACTATCCATTATGTTCTGTGATGTGATGCATTTTTTGTTCTTTTGTGTTCATTTTACATTTCCTATTTTCAACTTCACATAAATATTTCAGAACCAGTTACATGTATCAACATAAAGCTAAATAAACGTCAGATTTATAGCATTGTGTAAACATATTATTGCTTTTATTTCTCTGTTTTAAGTGTAATAATATATCATACCCCAAAATTCAATTTCTTCAATGTAATTAAAAAAAAAAAATAAAACGTACATTTTTATTAAATTGATAAAGATAATTCTTACATTTTCACGTATGTATAGTTACAGTTTCTGTTTCATTTTTAAATTTTTTGAAAAATATAAATTCATTAAGTAATTGTACTTAATTGATAGTATAATTTCCTTATCATGTATTATAATATGTATCAAATGCGGGTTTGCTTAACAGAGCATTTTCATGTCACACTGCTTAGTAAATATGAATTGATATAAGTTAGTCATTATCAATGTTTGTCAGTCAGCTTATTTTTATACTGTACTGTATATAGACACGATCCCTGTGCAGTATCCAACACCATGTGATCAATCCCATGATTCAAAGAAAAATCCATTCGGAATGCCTTTGTCAGGTTCCTTGATCCCGATATGATTTTAGCTGTTTGATATTTGATGACTTCCCCCTACACTGTATGACTGTGATATGTTTGTTTACAGATTGGGTAGGTTTTATTTTTGATGCAATAAAGTCATTTTCAGTTTTGATCTCTTTCTTTCTTGTTCAATAAACCAAAAAAGACGTCGAGAAGAACTGTTCCCAAAGAGCTGAAGAGCAGAGGTCTGATCATGGAGACAGCACCAAGAGCTGCTGCAGACCGAACTAGGAGGAAATCCGTTGTAGCTGCCTCAAGCACCTGGTGATGGTGCTTACCTGTAGAAGATTGAGCGAGTGAGTTGGTTACTGATACTCAGTTACTCAATCATGTGCTACATATTGGGAACTTTATTTCCTTTATATGAGTGTAAAATGTCGGAAAATGTATGCGTCATTCCCCCCTATGCATGTTTAGATTGCATGGGGAATGGGGGCAAACAGAAAGAAAACAAAATGATCGTGGCAAATTAAACCCCATTGGTTTTCCTTTAAATTTTTGGATTTTTAGTTCACCTAAGCCAAAAGCTCAAGTGAGCTTTTCTGATCAAAATTTGTCCATTGTCTGTCATTGCGTTGTTGTAAACTTTTCACATTTTCATCTTCTCAAGAACCATTGGACCAATTTCAACCAAACTTGCTACAAAAAAAAAGTATCCTTGCTAGGGTAAAGGGAATTCAAGTTTGTTCAAATGAAGAGCCACACCCTCTTCCAAGGGGAGATAATTGTGAATTAGTGAAAAAGTAATGGCATTATTAAAAAATCTTCTTCTCAAAAACCACTAGCCCAGGAAAGATAAAACTCATGTTGAATCATCCGGGGTAGTGTACATTCAAGTTTGTTCAAATCATGACCCCCGGGGATTGGGTGAGGCCACAATGGCCGATCAAAGTTTTACATAGGAATGTATAGGGAAATCTTTAGAAATTTTCTTCTCAAGCTGCAAAGCCATGATTAGTGATATTTATATGGAAGCATCCTCAGGTAGTGTAGATTCTAGTTTATTCAAATCATAACCTCCCAGGGATATGGTGGGGCCACAATGGGGGATCCAAGTTTTACATTAAAATATATTTTAAAAAATCATCTTCTAAAGAATAGCAAAGCCATAATTAGTGATATTTATATGGAAGCATCCTCAGGTAGTGTATAATTAAATTTGTTCAAATCATACTGTAACCCCCACGGGTAGGGAAGGGTGGATCAAAGTTTTACATAGGAAAATAATGGAAAAAATTCCAAAAACAGAAAAGCCATGTTTAGTCATATTGACATATAAGCATCCTCATGTATTGAAGATTTAAATGATTTAAGTACCCTTTGGGGTAGGGATTAAAACAATGGAGAGTCAAATTCAAATTATTACAAAGTAATATTTACAGATAAAATGTTAAAAAAATCTTTAAAAATCTTCTTCTCAAGAAGTTATATGCAGTATTGATATGGAGGCATTCTCAAGTAGTATTAGGATTCAAGCCCCATTCCCCCACCCCCTCAGTAAACTTTTCAATTCGGATCTGATTTGTGCTTTTTCCTAGCTCAGGTGAGCGTTGTAGCCCCTGGGCCTCTTGTTTTTGAATGCATTAATATGACACACTTTATTTACATGTTACTTTAACATTAAGTGGAGGTTGCATATATATGGACTATATCGAATATGGTCACACAGCCAAATCCTTTCACAAATCTTCAAAAAATCTTTTAGGCAACCTTTTTTTGGTACTTTTTCCTCCTTTATTGTTTAAGGAGGGATTCTTCTCTGGTTTCTGACTAGATGAAATAATCAATAAGATTTTTGTTGCTTATACATTTATATTTTATATATTTGGAAGTAAGGGATTTAAAAGATCATATTTTTCTTTCCTTTTTATTATTATACAATTTGAAAGTTAGAAATGGGAATGGTAAACCGAGTTTGAAATCGAGCAGGGGTTATATATACGAGGGGAGTTCAATAAATAATGTCATTGGGGCTCGGAAAGAAACAAAAACACGCTTTTCTATGATTTAGTCTGAATGATTTAACTAAAATATTCTCTTTTAATTAAAAAAAAACATGTCTGTAACATTTTTATTCAATTTCTAATTGTTTTTAGAACACATTTTTGAGTATGACCCTTGGTATACTGGAATATGGCAGATCCTATGATTTGCTGTACTTGTGCTTTTCTTTCTGATAGATGTTTATCTAAGTTTGGGAAATGAAACAAGTCAAAGGTTGAAAGATCTGGCAAAATGTTTTGGTGTGACAAAACCTTAACTTTCTGTTTATCCCCAAAGCTCCTTTACTCTTCATGGTCTATGGGTTTGGACGCTGACATGAAAAAATTTAATGTAGTGAATTCCTTATTCAGTTTCCTTCTTCTCATTAACCTTTCATTTTTTTGCAAAAAAATCTTTCCTAGACTCCTCCAGAAATTGAACTTCCTCCCCTATTATGAATTTGAACAACAAGACCGCTAATATTTAAGAAAATAGCATATAAAACTGTTTTGTGATCTTGCAATTCTTTGCTTTTTTAGGCCTTTGCAGTTTTGTCAAGTGCATCTTATTGTAAGTTTTTTTTTTTAGGATTTAAAGCCAGATTGTTTCAAGTTTCATTATCTGTTTGAATTTCAGACAAACGTGGATAAGTACGATTTTTTATTTCTTTAAAATAATTGTTTAGATATTCCTACACGCTGTCGATCGTTTTCACTCATTTTTCAAAATATAGGGTTGCCTTTGAGTATTAAACATTTTTACTGTCAAATGTTTCTTTAAATAATTGATTTCTATCAATTTTGCTATGTGTCTTA